CATTATATCAAAGAATTGTTTCTAAAATGAAAAAAAATATGACCTTATTTCAAAATTATGCCAAAATATGCTGTAAAACCAATAAAACTCTAACATATGCGTTTATATGCACAATAAAAACGACATAATTTCAATAAGAATGACTGAAAACATGCATAATTACATTTAAAAATAGGAATAAACCCTAGGAAAGAAATATGACATGGCATAGAAATCCAGGCCCTACTTATAACTCTCTTTTGTATCTTAAAAACTCTTTCTGCATGTGTTGAGTTACCCCAAAACATTACTCCATATGTCATAACAGAATGGAAGTATGAATAATAAATACTTTGTAATGTTTTTACAGTCACCACTGGTTTTACATTTCTTATCATATAACAAGCTGTATTTAATTTCTTTATTATCTCCTCTGTATGTCTGTCCCAAGTTATATCATTTTGGATAGTCAGGCCAAGAAATGTTATGTGATTCGTATTTAATAACACCATTCCTATGCCTCCCATTTCTCAAACTACATTATTTTTTACAGTGAAGTTTCTATAATATGTTTTCATTATATTGACATTAAATTTTTTTTAAACCAGTTTAAACTGGTTTAAAAAAAAATTTAATGTCAATATAATGAAAACATATTATATAAATGAAGTATTATAATACTTCATTTTTTTGTATTTTTAAGTTTTATTGGATTGTGAGAAATTAAAAAACTGGCATCATCAGCAAATAGAATGGGAAAACTCTTAGTCTCCAAAATCTTGGGTAGGACATTTATATGGTGGTCGCAGTATCGACCCTTGCGGGACAACATTAGTTACAAGGTCCGTATAAAAAGTATCGGGAAAATAGATTTATTTCAGATATTGCTACAATGCCTCAAAATTCTTCAAAATACATCCCTTGTGCATCGATACACTTTTGCCAACACCGTTGCCACGACACGAAGGCTCCCTGGTAGGCGGATTCCGGAAGGTCCTTAAGGGTCTGCGTGCAAGCCTCTTTGACGGCACTCAGGGTCCCATGATGGTCCCATGAGGGAGGATTTCACTTTCAGGAACGAAAAAGTCTGCTGGTGCCAAGTCGGGACTGTAGGGGGGTTGGGGTACCGTCGCGATGCCGTCTTTTTGTCAGGTAGTCGGTCACCTTGGAGCAGGTGTGACTGGGTGCATTGTCGTGATGCAATTTCCAATTTCCGGCGATGGCTGGCCTCACCGATTGACCCTTCTCTTCATTCTTCTTAGCACTTCCAGGTAAAAAGCTCCATTCACTGTTTGCCCCTTAGGTACAAATTCGTAGTGGACCACCCCCTGGGCGTCGAAGAAAACGATGAGCATGGTTTTCATTCTGGATTTGCTCATTTGCGCCTTTTTTGGACGAGGTGATGCCGAAGTGTGCCATTCAGAACTTTGACGCTTTGTTTCCGGGTCGTACTCGAATATCCAACTTTCGTCTTCCGTGATGACGTCCAGAAAGCCGGGGTCTTCCTCAACGCGTTGCAGAAGGTCTTCGCAAGCAGCCACTCTTCTCTGCTTTTGGTCGTCCGTCAAGACCTTCGGGACGAGTTTCGCGCAGACCTTTCGCATCGCCAAATCTTCAGTGATAATGGTGTGCACCGTCATCTTATCAATGCCAACACGATCTGCAATCATGCGCACACTTAACCGATGGTCTGAATTGAGTACGTCACGCACACGTTGCACGTTGTCGTCGGTTCTTGACGTTGACGGCCGTCCACCGCGGGGCTCATCCTTCACACTCTGTCGGCCACTTTTGAAGAGCTTGTGCCACTTAAAAACTGCAGTTTGTTACATGCTTTCATCCTTGAACATTTGGCGAATCATGCCCAACGTCTCCGTACCCGATTTCCCCAGTCCAACACAAAACTTGATGGCGTACCTCTGGACAAAGTGGCGTTCAATCGTTCGCTGCATTCTGCGCTTGCACCGACTCACTCGATGGGTCCACTGAAAACACGGCCTGGCCTCTACGAACGTGCTCAGGCGAATGGCGCTTGGTGCGTGTTAAAGGTTAGAACCCCACTACCACGCCAGCGCGGTGCGAGCGTACTGCGCTGTACAGTCGCGTAAGGGAAAGATTTTTCCCGATACTGTTTATAGGGACCTTGTACTTTAACCCATTGAGAGTTTACTTTACTACTGTTTGTCCCATTGGAGATAGCAGTTCTCTGTTTTCTATTCAATAGATATGACATATAGGTCGTATTGTTTGTCTTTTATTCCATAATACCTCAATTTATTTAATAATATATCGTGGCTAACACAATTGAAAGCCTTTTCTAAGTCACAGAAAATCCCACAGACTTGCATTTTTTTATTTAATGAGTCTAGTATTCCAGAGATAAGTCTATAAATTGCATTTTCAGTCCCTTGATTTTCTCTAAATCCAAACTGGTATTTGCTTAATATACTATTATCATTCAAATGTTTTAACAATCTACTATGCATTACCTTCTCAAATATATTACTAATACATGTTACTATGGATATATGTCTGTGATTTGATTCTAAGTTTTTATCACCTTTTTTGTATATTGGTACAATTGTAACATATTTTAATCTGTCTGGGAATATACCCACTTTTCCTGATATTTGTTGTGTACCTTTGAAGTGATGATGTCTGTGTACTTATCACCCCCCATGTGATTGCTCCGTATGTTCTAACCTTGTGGGCCACTTGGTACCTACTGGATATTCGATCAATCTCTGTGGGCAACACGTATGTTCTGTTCGTTATCGTGAAGTGAGAAATCAGGAACCCCTGCCAGGTTATTCAGTTTATAGCCTGTCCATTACTTTGCTGGTAGCTGCAGACCATCCGGACTGATTCTGGGGCTCCACTGAGCCTCCTGTGAAATGAGTATTGGGACTTTCCACAAAGTGAAGTTGCTGGAGTGTCAGGATGGCCACTTTCCTCCAGCTAGTACCAAGGTTGAGTGTTAGTAGCTACTTCTTAATCTCCCCGTACATCTTGTGGCATTGCGGTGATTAAAGCATGTGAAAACATATCACAGGTTTACTATTTTGTGTCATTAAAAAACTAGAGAAACTGAAGTTTTGCTGTGTTTGTCACACAGATCATGTCAGACTTCAGTGGCTTGTACTTGTTAAGAGCTGATGAGTAACCTGTAAAGTCTGGAGGTTCTGTGTGTGGTTAATACCAAATAAGTCCTTAGCTAGCCTAGTCATAGTGGGGGAAAAAGGGGGTTCATCTTCAAATAAAGAAATTTATTCTCAGGTGGCGTAAGCAGCAGTAGTGGTGATAGATATGGCAGTCGAGGTCGTGGAGACGACTCCAGCTATCGCCGTTATAGCCGTATGGTAAGGATTTAATTGTATGTTTGAAATTCAAGAGGTCAGTATACAAGTTGAATTGTGAGGGTTTGTGTTATTGAAGTTTCTGAAAATATGTTAACATTGTTGAGAATCATCTACAGTGAGAACTTTTTTTTATGATACAAGTATAACTGCACATGTTGGAACTGAGGAGGAAACAGCAGAAGGTATTTAAACAAACATCATTCGAATGATACACACTAAAAGTTTCACTTGTGCACTAAAGTGACATTATGTCATACTGGGTCATTCACATTTGTGTATTGTGCTTGAATCTTCATTGTACTGGTTGGGGAAAAATGAAACCTCAGACTTAAATAAGGAAGCAGTTACATAGCCTAGCCAATGTTGGGAATGCATCATAGCAAATCAGAAGTTAAGTACTCACAGTGATAAGGCCATAGTTGCAGCTTTGAACTCTAGATTGGCCATTTTGGGAATTGAAGTGTTATTCTTAACATGGAATGTGGGCTCGCAGCATTTGGTTTTATTTTTTAACTGTGATAAGTGGCAAGTCAAGTACTATAAGGTTAGAAAGATATGCTGCTGTTCTTTAAAAATTTAATGTTGAGAAATATCTCCATTAAAGTTAAGCAGGGAATGCTACAGAAAATAATTATGTTTTTTTGCATGGCTGTACTATAAACCTCCTCGGTGTAGAATGGCATGTAACCCATCTGTAGGATTGATGTAATATGACTACAGCCCATTTCATATAATGGTATCAATTTACAGGATATTGTACTAACAAAATAATTTTTCAGATTGAGTGCTCACATTGGATGTTCAGCATATTGAAATTGCTCTGGTAATGTGTTTTTTTCATTCATTTATTTACATTCCATTGATCCTTAGGGGGCCCATACACATACGAGTCTGGCTCGCGAGTCCAACTCCCCTTGGGTTCCACTGAGCTCATCCATGTGTGGGTTGCCATGCTCATATGTGTGTGGTGAAATTAATTTGAGCCCGGCTCCTCGCTGAGCCAGACTCGCACGTGTATGGGCCGCCTTTCACGGCTGGAAGACCAGTGGATGTAGAAATAGTCAAAGACAGCAAGACAAGTCCCATGAATTATATAGATAAAAATTAATTGCACTTAATCTGTAACAGTTACACATGTTATCCGAGACAAATCACAATTAGTAAATCATTAAACATATAAAAAATATATATGTAAAAGCATGCAACATACTAATATGAAAAGGGCTGCAATAATCAAACATAAAAATGTGCTGCTATAACAGACCAAGAGCGTTAATTAATATTGAAGTTAAAATATTCTTCCAATGAGTAAAATGAATTTAAAAGTAGGAACGTTTTTAAAGTAGTTCAAAATTGTTCCATGTCATGAACTAAGTTCTTCATGCTAGAAGGAAGATTATTAAAAACCTTGGTCCTAAAATAGTATGTTCCTTTTTGAAATACTGTTATTTTATATATCAGTTACTGCAGGGGAAGGGCCGTGCCAAAGCTCAAGTGGGATTTGTGGTGGACAAAGTGGTGCTGGGGCAGGTTTTCTCCACGTACTTTGGTGTCCCCTGCCAACCTTCATTCCACCAAATTCTCCATCATAATCATCCAGGGCAGGCTACAATAGGCCAATCAGTGACTGCTGTGCCGAGTGGGCCCAGTTGGACTCCACCCCCCACTAAGCGAATTAAAAGAAAAATTACTGCAGTGGAAAGACTCTTGGAAGTATGTCAGATCAGATCTTGAGAGACCTAGCAGAACATCTTTGAAAAGAGCAATCATATATTCATGCAAATGAATTTGTTTCCTTGTATTTCAGTACATGAAAGTTCTCACTCAACAATTATTTGCCTATTTTTCTTGCATCACATATTACCATTTTGTGTTGCAGGATGGACCAGGTTACTCAACTCGTGATCACAGTCACCATAGATCTCCAGAGCCCCAACGCAAACGTTTGAGGACTGATCATGATTATGTACAGGTATATAGCTAAAACTTAGGCCTTTGCAACTAAGAGTACTTCAGTACCAAATATTTGTCTTCTTCCAGGTGATGCCTAAGTTTTGAAGTTGGTTTGAGGTCATGACATGATTTGATAGTGTACATAATGATCAAACTCTGGACTTACGCTAATTATATCCCCCCTCCCGACCATGTCCCCCCCCCTCTGCACTATCTGTGGTGTCAAAAGTTTTGTTGTAGTTTATCTTCATTTTTTTTTCATTGTGAGTACTTCCAGTTCCAGATTTCATAAAACGAGAACGGACTTGCTGAAGATGTTTAGGTTCTGCTGCTTCCTGAAGGCTGGGTAAAATCTATGCCATTCAGAGATTTTAAAGCAAATTTTTGATGTTCTTATAGTTGTGACCTTGGAGAGTGCTGTCTTCTGGGGTGTGACACCATGTAGTTCAGTAGGTTAACCGCCTGCATTTCAGAAGTCTCTCTTAACCTGGAAAAGGAGGTGACATGGACGCCCATCTACCAGACTGTACAGCGTCTCATCCCAGAAGACAGTAATCTTCACAGTCACATTAAACAGAAGTACAAATTGGGGAAGCTAAAAAGTTTCATGTACTGAATGCAGGTTATTTAATGAATCAGAATTCATGAAATCTGAGACTAATAGTTTGTATCGGGCTTTTGCTAGGACAATATATGCAGTAAAAGTTGAAGTGCTGGGTTGGGGTTTTACTCTGATTCTAGACTGACCTAATTAGCACCTGAGTTTCTGGGTTTTTTTTTTTCTTTCTTTATGATTTACCTTTGATTTCATCACCTTACTGTTTTAAGAGGAGTACAAATTATGAAATATCTGATTGCAGTTTTCTCTCTTCTGTTACCTCTTACTTCCTGTAGGGTAAAAATAGATCTCATACGTGACCTCATTCATATTTCTAAGTGTAAAAGGCCAGACTTCTTTGTACTAATGTGTAAGTCCCAATGAGATATATGTTAGTAGATGTGTAATGAATATATACCATTGGTGGAGTTATATACCTGTGTATTAGTGTCCAGTAAATGTGCCACAAAATGCTTTTGAGGTGCTTCCATGAACTAACACAAACTCATGTACTCAAAGAACATGCAGGGTCACAGGAGCATTGTTCCATCGTTCTTTGTATGTAGTCTGTTTTGAGGGAATCTTAATGAATTTGGATAATAACTGCTGTAGGTTTCACTTAACAATTTATCTATAAAACCGCACCGGTAAAATTGGCTGAGGAAAGGTAGACATGAGTTAGAAAGAGGTAACTCTTAAACCAAGGGTGCTGTCTCAGAGTTCATGTCACAGTAGAAAATTTGGATTTCTTTGTAGGCCGGTTTGAAGTTTGTGCCCACTGATGTAAGTTACTAATATTATTTATAATTAATTTTTTCACTTGATAGATTATAAGTATTGAACTTAACTAGAGTATGGAACAGGCTTAAACTATTCACTCTTAATTTAGTATCAGACACTGCATATCTTTTATGGGGTTGTGGATATTCACTTTGATTTTAAAGGGAGGAACTGTGCCTGATTCACTTTGCAAAAGTTTATGAGTGAGTCAACTTCCCAGTTTTTATTTGGGAATGCTCATAATTGTAGGAGGTACTGTCAGTCAGTGATACGGGTTCAGTGGCAGGTATATAAAACAGGAAAATCGTTTTGAGGGAGGTGAAGTTTAATTTAAGGAATAACTTTGGGTCTTCAGAATTGCATCACTTGCTTTGTTGTTAGCTGAGTATGCATATTCATTAGGGAATTCTCAAAACTGGATTCTAACATTATAAATGAATAGTTTGAGCCCAAGTAATTATTTTCAGAGAGTACAGTGCAACCTTTATATATGCTCATAATAACCAAAATTGGTTGAAATACATGACCTCCAAGCCCAATTTCTAATTACGTGTCTTACTATATAACACTGAGATTTACAGAAAAGTAATGCAGGCACTGCAGTATTTATTTCTTTTGTTGCGTTTGCAGTGAAATCTTACCAGAACTCCCATAACAGCTTTAACCATCCATGTGCACATAATAAATCAACCACCAAAGAGATTTGTTAGTTCTGAAATGTGTTACCATAATGCAGTTTCAGTTGCGATTTGACAGCAGTACATACCTTTATCAAAATATAGTCGTGTGCATTTCTCATGCAGAAATGATGCAGTCTCACTAAATATGTATCGGGATGAAAGTTGTTGGAATGAAAGCTGTATATAAGTCTAGTACTTTTCCAAAAAGTTGTATGGATTGCATGGTAAGAAAACAATGGATTCTGTGCTGTCTACAGGCAGTAATCAAGCGAATATGCCAGAGTTCTTAGTTTACATGAAGATTTCCTCACTTGTTTTAAATGATTATCATGTAGACATGAAAGTAACAAAGAATAATTCAGTACAGCAATTTTTTTTTTTGGTATTTTATCCTTGTTTATTTGAATAACACAGTTATTAAGTTGAGTCTGAATGTGTAGTGTGTATTATGTTGGCATGATTCAGTTTTATTTTTCAGTCCTCTTATGATTTTGTTGTTTCATTTTGTCTCTTTTGTACTTTGTTATGAACATGTCAGCCATAACTTCTCTCTTCACAGTTTCACTAGCATGACCAGAAAATAGTGTTAGATTCAATTTGTGTACAGTCTTTGTGTTCTTTTGTATCTCACTAACATTATTTGTGGGCTGTTTTTGTGATTTAGGTGTTTATGTCAACATTACAGGAAGCACAACACTGAAGATTTGTGTATGTTAGAGAGAAATTGAAAAAAATGTGAAGATATGGGTAGCCAGATGTGAAAAAAAGGTTTCATATTTAGTACCTGATCATGAATAGGATAATTGCATTTTCTTCTGACAGACTACAGGAGACAAACTTCTTCGTCTAAGAAGACTGTCTAATTGGAGGAAGAGTGTTCATATTTTTCATCTGATGTTTATTATTTTTCATACTGTGGACAGGTTTCAATTTTAACTATGCAGTATCATAATTTTGGTACATATATATGTCAGTAGAAAGGATGAGAAATTTAAGGTTTGTGTTAGAACACATGCACCACAGAACGATTGATATGCCTCTGTGAGAGGAAGGCAAGCTGAAAGATAATCCAGATAATTGCATGGTGGTGATATATAACTTTGGTTTTTGGCATGCATTATTTTCCTGTTGTGGACAGGTTTCCATTTTACCTATCCAGTAGTGTAATTTTGGTATTAATATTGTTATCAAGGATGAGAAATTTAAGTTTCTTGGTATTAGAGCAAACATACCACAGAACTGTTGATATGCCTCTGGAAATGGAAGGCAGGTCTCATCTTAAATGTGAAAGAGAATTCACGTGACTGTCTGATGATCTAACACTTTCAGATTTATGACATGCAGCAGATAATTGGTAATGAAAACTTAACCCAGACAAGTTGAAGATTAAAATGTTGTGCCCTAAAGTGGGTTTTGATTTGCTAACAAAACTGAAAGCCATGCATAACATTTCTAAATGAAACAAGTGAGGTATAATTTTTCAGTAGTTTGACATAAGAAGAAGTTGAATGCAAACCTGCCATATAGAAGTTGTGACTCATTATGAATGAAAAACGTTAACTGTTATGAAGGCCCTATAAGTATGTTTTGGTGGACTTTTTAATCATTAATTATTTGACGGTGTAACTTGCAAACCTGTCCAATTTTGCTGATCTGGCTAATAAAGAGGGAATTTGTTCATTGTTAATTGAAGAATGTTGGTGTTTGAAAGCTTGACAACAGTATCATTGTTTCAGTATTTCAGTGATGGTGAACATGCAGATGGGAACTTCTCTTCCTTGTAATAGCTGTGTATGTTTTGGATTTGCCATACAGGCCTCGTCTAGCCGCCGCAGCCACGAAGGCAGCTACGGGGGTGGGAGTGATTACAGTAACCGTTACGGTTACTCCGAGGAGAAGGGAGGCTATGCGGATGAAAGGGGCCGCGGTTACCGCGAGGAGAGGCGGTCCGCCAGTAGTTTCAGAGACCGATCAAGGGAGGATTATCCCCACAGAAAGGCTGAACAGCTGGATTCAAGCATGCCCCCACCCTCAAGTGCCCCCCCTCGGCATCTTTCCTCCCCCCGAGGCTCCTTCAGGGGGCGCATTAGCGGCAGGGGAACGAGAGGCATGTCGAGAATGATTTTCCCCAGACGAGTCGACTCCTTACTCATCAGGAAGAAAAGCATTTTGGATTCTAGTTACACCTTCCGAAAAAGAATGTTAGCAGCAAGATCACAAGTTGAGAACCTAAGGAGGCTCAGGCTTCAGAAGCTACGGAGGTAATATCTGTTACAGTATATTAAAAGAAAAGAAACTGATGGAAATGTTACAAAGTGATATACTGAGAGAACAAGAGGAAATTGGACTACAGAGCTCTGAGTAAATATTTGTTCTTAAAAGATACACAAAGATTGAAAGGGGAGATGGATTGGGCTGATCATGGAGTAGATGGCCTATGTATAGAGTTGAAAGAAAGCATTGTCTCTAGTTATTTCAGTTAGACATGGCACCTGCGACAACCAGAAACACATTAACTTGCATGTAGCTTTATTGGATGCCACCTATGCAAAAATCAGTTCTACGGTGAATGTCACAGCCAGAGATTGAGGGAAATTGGGTTACAGTGGCAAAAGAAAATTAATTGTAACAATAAATAAAACATTGATTGGGGAATAAGAATATATGCAAAACTGTTTGTTCCATTTCTGAAGACGAACAACCTTCAGTGTATATGCATAGATAAATATATAAAAAGAGAGATAGAAATAATTGTATGGAGAAAGAGATGAACAAGTCGGTGGAGACTACTGCTGTAACAAGACATAACGTCGGACACATTATCGCAAGGGTGAGATGGGAGGATGAAGTTTTCATAATTTGTTTATGTTTGTTGTAGTGTACTAACTTGTTCTGTAATGCTAGGATTAGGGAAGCTACAGTGTCTGCTAAAAGGGATGGCCAAGGAGAGAAAGAAGGATCTAAAGCTACTGAAGACATCAGTGATGAGGATGAGAAAGAAGATAATTGGGATGAAGACATGGAAAAAGTAAGTGAAAATTAGGAACGCAAACTCCAGTTCACCTTCTCTTCATCACACTTGAACAAATTGTGCAGTTGTGATGCTTAAAGTGAATGAATGAATGAATGATTTTTTTCAATTTTAAGTATCCAGTGCCCTCAAACTCAGTGTCAGAAGTTGCAGTTATTTCAAAATGGAGCTGTGCCATAGCTCAAGCGGTTAGTCGCTGGCTTCCCCCCACGGAAGCCTGGGTTGGACCCCAGGTCTCGTCAAGTGGAATTTGTGGTGGACAAAGTGGCACTGGGGCAGGTTTTCTCTGAGTACTTCGGTTTCCCTTGCCAATCTTCATTCCACCAATTGCTCCACAATCACCCTCACTGGGGCTGGTACAATAGGCCAGAAGTGACCGCAGTACAAGGGACTTAGTCCCACCCCACTAGCATTAAAAAAAATTATTTCAAAATGTGCCAGAATTGAGTGAATGAAAGTGTCCACAGTAGCAGCCCCCTCCACATCTTGACTTGATTGCGTTATGTGAGAGAGTGCTCGTCAGGAGTTCTTCACAAAACATATTAATATTTGTAGTGGCCACTTGTGGAATGAAGGTAGTTGAGGATAAGATAATACTTCATATTCTCAAAACAAAAGGATAGTTTGTGAGTCACTGGACCTGATTCAGGCCTCAGATTTGATGGTACATGAACTCTGGGTTATTCATATTAAAAGCTTATAACTTATTTTGTCGGTTGAGCAACTATAGTTACTTTGAAATTTCTGTATTTTGAATGATGTATTGAATTTATGATGTGTAATTATTTTATATGGGACAATGCAAAAATACCAAGCACCTGTTCCCATCACAAGTTTTAAATTCTCGACCACAGCCTAAGACCACACATGGTAACCATTTGTAATTATATTTAAATAACAGCTACGCAGTAGTAATGGAATAGTTATTGATCCTAATTTTCTTTATTAAAATCAGTCTAGATCTACTTGCTCACATTTAGCTTAACTTCTCACTGTCGCACACATTTGTTATTTGGATGTGTTATGTAACATTTTTTAAATATAAAAAGGGCCTATAGACTATCACTGCATCAGCAGTATTGTCTTTCTTACATGATACCTCAGTTCTGTTGTATCCCAAGTTTTGTGAATGCCATTTGCATTGTAAATAAATGGTAAGCCCTGGGTCACATTCCATAGATTGTTGCCCTCAGGTATATAAAAGAGAAACATATAGATTAGAATATTTCAGCTGCTTGTCTGATTATTTTATTGCAGATAGTCTGATAGCAGGTTGATTTTTATGTAAACTAAATTAATTTTAGTTAACTTTTGTTTCGCTGTAGTTCAGTGTTTGTCAATGTACTTAGGTCCATGCTGAATGAATCTGGAGGAACTCCTCCTCGTGCTAAGTCAAAGTACATGGTGTCCGGATGAGAGGTATCTAAAATAAAATTATTATATCTCAGAAAGAATTTATTATACACATCAATGGGTTAAACCATTACAAAGGGGAAACTATCGAAGTTTTTTTATCTGCATATATAACTTTCTCAATAAATTTAAATGTTGACTCTGTTGGTGCCATGACAAATATACTTGAAGCATGTTTGGTGTTACCGTAGCCACAACATCCCTTATGCAGGTGTTGAAGGTCGTTGATCTTAATCTGATAGACAATGTTCTTCACATAACCCCACAAGAAGAAATCCATGAGGGTTAAATCTGGTGACCTAGGAGGCAAAGCGATTAGTCCACCTCTGCCAATTCATATCCCTCTCTGCCCAGGTGATTCCTAACGTGGTAGCAAAAATGTGGTGACGTATGCGCATAAGCTCGGTATGAAAAACTACTACTTTCCAATGACAAAACAGATATGTGTATGACAGTTTCTGACATATACAGTTTTTATTTTGGGTATCTTTCATCTGGACATTCTATATATTGCCATTATTAATGAAATTGACTCTCTGTAGTTCAGTGGTGGTCTTGTACTGTGAAGTCCGTATTGAATGAGTCTGGAGTAATGCCATTATACTAAATGAGAGTTACACAAAATTGCATCTATAAACTTTTCATGGCTTTCTAAGACTTGATGTGTATGATTATAAAATAATTATTTTTCGAGTATACTGTTTCTATGCAAGTACAGGGTGGGGCATATAAACCTTTCTGATTTAAAAAATGCGTGGAATAGAAAAAAGAAAGATGCAAGCAAAATTATTTTATTTGAAAGGACATAGAATGCAGTTTTATTTTAATGAGGTTTAAAAATAATATCTTCCAAATGGCCACCTCCGTTTTCCATACACCGACGGAGCCTGTTTCGGAAGTTTTCCATGACTCTACGAGTCATATTCCGTGGAATAGCGTTGATTTCTTCGGTGATGGCAGCCTTCAGTTCATCGATAGTTCGGGGACAGTGTGTGTACACCTTTGCCTTGAGGCATGGTGTTAGATCAGGCAATCTGGGGGGGCTACCTGATGTCACCCCGCAAAGAGACAAGATGACCAGGAAACATTTGTCTTAGAATCTCCATTGAACGATCGAAGATGTGGCCCATAGCATCATCTTGTTGGAACCAGATATCTTCCAGGTCATGATCTTGCAATAGTTCATCCAATTTCGGTAGAAGGAAATTTTCAAGCATGTAACAATATCGAGCAGAAGTCACAGTAACGACTTCACCATCTTCTTTGAAGAAGTAGGGACCCCAGACACCACAATCGGCCTGAAAATTTTCTTTTTAATGCAGAAGATGTCGCTCTAAAATTTGATGCCCAATTTCTAATTGTTGGTCCAGTGGGAATGGGATCACGCTGACCGAGTGAGTACGAAAGGCTCGCTGGGTTTTGATCACAGAACCGTCGATTTTAATAAATTCTTTCAGCACGAACGCACGATGTTCTCCCGACCAAGCCATTGTGCATGCTATAACGCATCTTAACGATACCATCCGCACCACTCTACCCCCTCCCTAGCCTCAGCAGTGACCTTGTGAAATTGGAAAGGTTAATATGCCCCACCCTGTAAATACAGTTATTAATACCAAATTAATAGGCAATGATTTCTGGTCGAGAGAGAACAATAGTGATTGTAGTTTTGACTGCAGTCACACTGGGTCCAGGTACAAGTTCTGGAAAGTTTAAAACATCTTATACTAAAGGCAACTTATTTACAAAATTGAAATTCACTAAATACAGGAAAATAATACATTTATTTATATTGGCTTTTAGCCAAGACAAAGAAAAAATATTCGTTGAGTGAGGATTTTGCTGAATTTGGGAATTGTGCTTCCTGAACAGACTGATGATGTTGCTGACGATGATGAAGATGATGACGAACTGGAGGAAGGTGAAACTCCCGACAAGAAAGAGAAGACGAAGGTAAAGGAAAAGAAGAAAGAACCAAAGGCATCAGTCAAGGATGATGAAAGAGAGGAAGGTGAAGAGGTTGATGATGAGGAGGAGGAGGAGGAAGAGGATGACGAAGACAGGGATTCTGTCTCCGATACAGCATCACCCCCCAAGAAATCCGATGTGAAGAATGAAGGAGGTGTACATGTAAGCATTCTTCCATAAGAATGAGATTGCTTAAAATCAGTTCATGCAGTGACCAAGTCACTTCCAGTTTTACTTAAAATGATAGAAGTAGCATAATTTTGTGTAACTTTTGTTGCCTTACACAATTTTAGATATAGTGGTATTGATTTTGCTACCACATGATCAATGCATGTGACATTCAGATTATTCTTGTTGATCTCAGAAAGTTAATATTTGTGTCCAAGTTTGTGAAAACTTGTCAGTTAATGTCTGTAATTTAATCAGCAGGATTGACAGACATGCACATTTCTAGTAGGGTTCTGAATCTTTAATCTTTATTACATTCGATTAAATGTCATGATAATCGTGGAATTTAAACGTTTTTGTCACTTGTGGCATTTAAATGTTGATGGTTACAATGTTGTGGACTGGGCACAAATGAAAGAATTATACATGGAGAAAACACAAATACACTGAAATGTTAATGTACCGAGAATTTGTAACGTTCGTAAAATTGCTTGTTCTAATTCTTAATCATAATATCCAAAAGTGGTTGTAATACCAAATCTTTAGGTCTATCTAACTTCTGCATTCTGATTTAGTGGTACCTTTCAGACTGCTAACTGTAAATAATTGGGGAAGGAAAAGTGCAAGTACAGTTAATACAAAAAGTTACAGAAACAGTTATGGTTGGTTAGGAATTGCTTGTTATGAGTCTTCTGCAGTATTTTCCATCAAGAAATTGACAGTGATAATAATTTTTCTCACTATAAAATGTCTTATTATTTTTTACTTATTCCTTATTGTGGTTATGTTTTGTTCCACATAGAAATCATGTTTCTTTTAAGTAGACAGTAATGTGACCATCTAACTCTGTGTATGAGACTTTTAATTACACATTGTTTATTTGTGTGTGCAATGTATTAGGTTACAATTAAGCAAGATTCGGATGCTCGTGCAGTGAGTGAAGAAGGTCGCAAACGCATGCCACGATCAACAATGAGTGGCAGGCCGTATATCCGTTTGAACTGCCCCCACTGTTATGTTCGCTGCATCACATTCAAGGTTTGCATGTTATCTAAATAGATATATTGTTGTAATGGATCAGGGAAAAGAAGGAATGTATTCAAGATCTTGTGGGAAGATGTTACTTAGAAGACATGAGCATAGATAGAAGAATTGAATTGAAGGTATAAATTGGCCGAGGATAGGGCCCAGTAAAGGGTGTCACGATGACGAATCTTGGGCTCCATCAGATTTTGAATTTGATAATCTGAATAAGTTTTTTTTATCCATTCTGTCAGCTGATAACAAGAAACTGTGGTGTTGGAATAATTTTTAATTCAGTATTATAATGTGTCTTCTCTTTACAGGAATATACATTACATTTGTACACATCAAAGCATATAAGTATGATGCGCAAACAGTCACTCAGACACAAGCAAACGCTTGCACGTATGCGCATGAGCCAGAGACAGAAGCAGAGACTTCTGGAGGAAAATGATGAAGTTCATGGGAATCTAGCACTTCGCTCAAATTTCTGTCCCATATGCAAGCTGAATTACAGGCAGCTGAAAATAAAGCACCAGGCTTCTGATTCTCACCGGGTAGGTTTTCATTACAAAGTGATGTGGATTTGATGTGATACTGAAGAGAGATTATACGGATTTCTTTTTTTAGGCCATGAAAAAGTTCCTGATGCCGTACTGCCGTGTTTGCCGTATTGGATTCAAATCTCCTATGCTGTATGAAAATCACATTTGCTCCTTGGACCATCTTAAGGTAAAGAAGACATTACTGTATGGAGTTTAAAACTGCCTAAAAAGAAGCGACTTTGCAGAGTGTTTCATTTGTTGTCCCAGTGCAGTTAATTGTGTTCATTTACTTCAGTGGCAGCAAATTCCTCAGTTACCATTCAAATCCATAAACTTAAATAAGAAATGGAACGAGAGTTGACTGTGTGTGCATGCATGGCATGCATACATATATTCTTGAAGTTCCTTGCTGTTGTATGTGTGTGATATACATACGAATTGTCAAATGAATTAATTATTCAGTGGTAATGACTGTGAAACATTTATTGTGGAGGTTTTCACCTTATTCTGTACCATTTCATTTTACTATATTCTTATGCTGTTAGACCTCATTAATTTAAATGACCTTCATAACACTTTTTTTTTCTTGGCACTACAGCCCCAGTGGGCCTTGGCCTACCTCCATGAACTTCTCCATTCACTTTGGGTTTTCTAGATCCTACACATTCGGTAGGACTCCTTAGGCAGGTGATCAGCTCGTCGCAAGGCCTCTACCTGTCCACGGACACAGAAAAACGCACACAAACAAACTAAACATCCATGCCCTGAGTGGGATTGGAACCCACGATCCAGGTTTCCAAGCGAGCAAAGACAGTACATGCCTTAGACTGCTCGGCTACAGTGACCGGCAGTATAACACATGGGCTACATTAATTACTGCTTTTGCCCTCACAGCTTTTCTGTGCCTTTTTTAAGAATTGTGTAGTAGTTTGGACTGAGCTACAATGTTGGTGGACATGCATATTTTTTTCGTTTCCTTTATCTGCCCGTTATGATTCCTTAGAATGAAGCATGTGCTTTCAGGCTCATTGTGCTTCAGTACCTTGTCCCTGGAAGGTAGGGCAGCACAACTGCTTGTAAGTGTGTTACAGCTCAGTGTGAGAAATTCAGTTATACTCCAATTTAGGTGTATTTGGTGCAGCAAAGAGTTGTGAAGCATTCAAGTCACAAGTCACAGAAGTGTCTAGTTCTAGACTGTGTATACTTTACTCTGAGCACTGGTAGGAGATATCATTTATGTGACATGCATAATGAGTTTTGGAGGTGGGGGAGGTGTCAGTAGTTGTAACTGCAATCAGATTCAAGAGCATGGCAGACTGACTGCATTAATAATGAAGATGTGAATAATGGTTGTTACAGAGAAAAGCAAGACTTGAAGAGCGTATGATGCACCTGCGTGATCGAAGCAGGGATATAGAGGATGATGATGGAAGTGGAATGGACGATGACAAGGACTTGAATATGGACAACTTTATGATACTCGACTCTGTTGGTACTGTTGATGGTGTGTATTGATAATGATAAGAGGTTATATACTTCTCTGTGCTCATATAATGGAGGTCTGGCTTCCTTAGATAAATCATCTGGTAATCCAGTTATTGGCAATAAATAGGATATGCATTGACATACATTCTGTATAAAGTTGCAAGAGTGTGTGTTTGCACAAAGATATTGGGTTTTCGGACTTTATCCATCGTCCTGGTTTTAAGATAACTAAGAGAAACACGACGTTTCGGAAACTGGATCTGATTCCTTCCTCAGGTGANGAGTGTGTGTTTGGTTTAGTAATCATAGGAAGAACAGGACAGTTTGCAGGAAATGCAAGTTAGGAAAGTGTGTATAAGGCTTTAATTCCTTGTCCAATAAATTCTTCATAACCAGCACCCAGGTGATCATATGATATTTTGCAGTCGAGAGAATTAGTAATAAAAAAAGCGGCCTCCGTAGTCTAGGGTTAACGTTCCCATCTCATGACTCAAGTTACGCGGGTTCAAACCTGGCGGAAGTCGTGGAATTTTTAAGGGCTGAAAAATTCAGGGAACAAGTCCTCCGGGAGGGACTTTTAAGCCATGGGTCCTGTGTCGTAGATTTACGGCACATAAAAGATCCTCGTCTCTAGGAGACCTCTGAGCAAAATTAGGCAGAACTTTTCCCGCCCAAGTAGTTTCCAATGCCTCCAGTAGGTGGGGAGGTTATCGGGTAACAATACCTGTAGAGGGCCGACCTCGCTGGCAGAAAGGGGAGAGTATTCAGGTACCACTGCCAGTAGAGGGCCGACCTCGCCGGCAGAAAGGGGAGATAGCGGGAACCAGTATCGATAGGGTATGGCGACAGTAGAAATTAAAGGGGGACGTACAGTAGAGTATTAAGTCGCGGTGCATGGGGAAACCCACCCCCTCTATACTGAATAACTGAATTAGTAATAAAAATATTCATTAGAGGGTTAGAGGGAGGGGCTTAGGTTGACATCAGCATGTTTCTCATATTTTGACTCATTTTTCAGATACTGGTGATGAAGGAGATGGTGATGAGGGGAAACCAAGAAGTGAAAAAGACAAGAAAGAGGCTGAAGAGAGGAAGTCAAAACCTGAAATTAACCTTGGTAGGTTGTTGTTCCCAGGAAAGATTATAAATTTTATTTAAATGCTTTAGAGTTGTGAATAGTAGCTTTTATATTTTTTTATGTTGATTTTACATGAAATACTGTTCTTGGAACTCATTCCCATTGCTTTGACGGAAGGCACCTTGTTTTCTGAGCACTGTAGAGCTATCTGAACTTCGCTATAGGTATGATTAGAATAGTGCATACAGGTGAGAAATCCTAACCCATTGTCCTAGGCTCGGAGTATGTAAAGAAAATCGAGGTGTACTTCTGTGAGTTGTGTCGCCTCTACTTGCCACGGTTGGACCAACCAGAGAGAGCACTTTCAATTCACTGTCGCACTCGGACCCATCTGCAGCGATATGTCCGTTACCGTGATGATAGAGCACTAAGAAACAAAGCAGAGAAGATACATCATCGCAAGGAGGTTGCAAAAGAAAATGCTGCAAAGGAGGCAGAGGCTAAGAAAAACTTGGAAGAAAAAACTGAAGGTCAAGATGAGGTAAGTGAATTTCAAAATATTTTGCATGAGGTGGTGATCAGGTTGATGATTTATCACATTCTTCCTCCCTCTGGAGTGATCCAGTACTCAAAATTATGTAGAATTAGGCCACACTTTCATGGAAAAGTTTAGTCATGGGGGCAGTATAACTGTACTGTATTTCTACAGTATCGTGTATGTGATAAAATCCTGGGAACCCAGATTTTTATTTTTATATGCAAGGTAAAAAGGGTGCCTAACAAATTAAGTACTGCGCCATTAACCTTTAAGAGCCGAGCGACTCCATATGGCGTCATGAAAATGAAGTCAAAGGGACGAATGACGCCATATGTCGTCGCGCAGTCCACGCGTGCAGCCGGCTTTTTAAAATCTAGTTTTAAGTTATAAATTCTTTTTCTACTTACATGATTTTTGGTCACCAGCTTTATAAGTTGTCTCTCTTCCCACCTGCGTCGTCTAACGGACTGTTGGTTTCGTGTGGAAATATTGAAAACATCCAGAAATCCAGTGTCCGACGTCGCACTTCACACACTTTCTCCGGACGGTTCTTCGTTTTCCATGCGAAAAGCACACACGACACCTCAATTGCAAAGTAGAGGAAGTTGACCAGTGATGTGGTTTGGCCTCCTATAATCGAGATATCTCCAATAAAACGACAGGGGTTCGACCCCTGGGCCATTGATGGCGAGGTGGACCCCTTCCAGCATGTTCCGCACAAGAGCGAGACGAAATTCTCTTAGTGACAACAGGATGTAACTGTTCAGATCCAGGAGACAGAAAAATAGTTTATTTGTTCATTTCCAGGTTCGACGACAGATGCTATAACTGTTTGCCACAGCTCCATCTAAATAATTATTCACACTTCTCTTGCCATGCTGGTGTCCTGGTCCCCAGGTTGCCGACCAAGATGATGGTTCTTCGTCGAAATCAACCGCCAGTGATGTGGTTTGAGCTCCTCTAATCGAGGTATCTCCAATGAAACAGCAGGGGTTCGACCCCTGGGCCGTTGAGGGCGAAGTGGGCCCCTTCCAGCATGTTCCGCACAAGAGCGAGACAAAATTCTCTGCGTGACAACAGGCTGTAACTGTTCAGCTCCAGGAGATGGAAAAATAGTTTATTTGTCCATTTCCAGGTTCGACGACAGATGCTATAACTGTTTGCCACAGTTTGCCCACAGCTCCACCTGAATAATTATTCACACTCCTCTTGCCACACTGGTGTGGTGGTCCCCAGGTTGCCGACGAAGATGATGGTTCTTCATCGACTTCAATTTCTGATTCACTTTCTTCCTCGCAACTCTCAGAGTCATCGGTACAACAGTCGAATCGGTGTCATTTGTAAGCTGATTCTCAATTTCAGTTCCAAATACGAGGCCATGGTGGACAGCTAAACACAATGCTAGTCTGAACGTTCTGACACTGCTCGGCTATATTTCAAAACAGACTACTTCTTGTTTGTCTATACGAGATAATACAGTCAGCGTTTCTGCGAACGATTAGACATCGCCCACACTCGTGCACATACCGAAAGGAAGCTACGAACTGGAGAATGAGGAACGCAAGCATAAACTTCCGCCCCTGTTGCCACGTAAGCCATAGCTATAAAATGATGTCAGCTGCAGGCATTCAGACTGCAGAAACGTTTTGTGCAGGAACTGTGTGCATTTTTGTGCACAGACGTTCGAAATTGAGGGAAAATTTTTTTTTGGCATCAGTGTAAAAATTTTAAGAGATTTTAAAATCGGTAAATTACAATAACTGATTCTATATTCTTTCTAGATAAAAGCAGCGTTTATTTCGTTTGTTTATCACAAAAATTGTAGAAATCACAGCATTTTGAGTAACATGATTACAATTTTTATTACTCTACAGTGTAGGGCATTTAAATTAACTCCGTCCCGCTACCACTACTGGAATTTAAATGGCCATCTCTTAAAGGTTAGGGTGTACGCTGGAGTGGATGTATAGATCCACATTTTCTTGACCTCGGCACTAACTGGAGGTGAGCGGTCAGGTTCATGCCATGGCCGCTTTACCGGCCAGGAAGAGCCGTGTTACTCATTGGATAAGAGGTTCGGTGGACTCCAAAGCTAGTCTGGACGTCATAGATTTTGTATTTAGAAATTTCATCATATTAAGTGAAACAGTTTTACACACACACAGTAAATTGGCAGAGTCCAGATAGAAATTGTTGTGACACCAGCATTTGTTAAAATGACATTACACCCTTTTTCAGTTGACATTTTTATTTTCAGTTTAGTATTTTCTTCTGCTCTCCAGAGCACTTAACCCGTAGATTTGTTTTTCAGAAAAAAGGTGATAATGGCGTTTCAAACGAAAAGGAGGCTGCTGGTAAAGTATCCGTTAATGATGACACTGAGGCAGGCACAAAGAAGAGCAGTACAGAGGGGATGGCAGAGTTGTCACAACAAGGCCGTGGTACGTCTGCGGAAACTACTGGAGATGGAGGAGCAGAGGGTGATGGAGATTTGGATCAGGATCTAGAAAGTGGAATGGATGACAAATTGTGGGCAGATGTTGATAAGGATCTTGGAGAACTGCTGCGTGAAGTGGAGCCCGGTAACAAGTCTTCAGATGAGGATGATGATTCACATGCTGAAGGAGGACGATATGACAGATTTAGATACAGTGAAAAGGGAAGTACAGCCACTGCAGATCCACATGCTGAGGGAAATTCCAACAAGGCAGCAACAGAGGCTGATGAAATTGTAACAAAGTCTGATGCAGGAAAAGGTGCAAAAGAAGTTGCAAATGCAATGTCACCTATAGAGGATAAGAAACAGGCAGTGAATGACATTCCTGCTGCTGCTGCTGATGCAAGTAACTGAAGGGTGTTGTCATTTATTTTATCTTTTCCACGTTAATCATAAAATACTGCTTTATATTTGCACAATATGTTGTTAAAAATAATAGAATTATGTTTAGTAGTTGTCATTTGGCAAGTCTGAAATATAATTAGTTCAGTGAAGCATTTTCTTTAGCTGTCTTAGCTATACAAATTATCTGTGTATTACCTGTTAACAGACAAGTCTATAGCCAATATAAATGAGAAAGTCATGGTTTTTAGGGTAACTACCAGTTACGAAAAGGGACATCTGTTGTGAATTCATAGATTGTATCCCTTTACATGTGTGTTATCGAGAGCTGTAGTTTAAGTTCGAGATTCAACCTAAGTGGGGTAGTAAAGACATAAATTTCACTCATATCCAAACTTTATTTGGCGGAAGGTGTATTTGTATTACCTGTCTGTTGAGCGTGGCTTAATGCAAATGCTAAAATAAAGTAAAATATGCATGCTTGCGTGAGTAATCATTTTTTCTGAAAGTACATGCTCCTGCTTTATCTTCATAACCTTAGAACTTTTAAAATTGAAGTTATTTTCAAGAGTACTGTATTCTGGGATGAGTCCGTGTGTGATAGGATATTATATGTTACTATGCAGCATCACATCCCAGAAGAAAGTATTTTCATACTTATACTGAGGGAACTCTCAGAGCTCACAATTTTTTTTTATCTCTGGGAGGAACTTTATTACAATTCTTATTTTGTGCACATTGAAGTTGTTAGAAAACTTCAAAGTTTCATGCCACCATGGTGTTTGTAATTGTTAACTGGTGGAGAGTATACCATGTTAATTTATGACATGTTTAAGTACCAAATTTCATGTCCAGCACCAAAGGTTCATTAGTGAATTTTATGCAGTCACCATTTTGCTATAATTTCTACAAAGATATTCATATCTTTCAAAGATCTATTACATCATTTCAGAAACCTCTGGTAAGAGATACTAGTGTTGCTCCTACCCAAATTTTATGTCTCTACCATGTTATTACTTGTAGGGAATTAAAAAAAAGTATGGGGTTGGGATGATTTCTAGTGGCTTAGCATTCCTACAAAGTTTTCTGAAAATTGGTTAAAAAATGTCCAGTATGTCTATGACATTTCCTTTGATTTGTTGGTTACCTAACAATTAAGCCTAATTTTTCTGTCTTCCCAAAGGTCATTCTTAGTATCCTGTGTCTTTCTTTTGTGTACTGTTCCCATCTTGATCTCAGACTTCGTACCTGCCAAGTGTTGGAATATTTATCAAGGGGATGAAATGGAAGAGGTAGGCAAACCACTAGGAAGACCTAGACACAAGCTAATACTAAATGTGTTGTAAATATTGTGGAAGAGTGTGGGCTGGATTCATGTGGCTCAAGGCAGAGATCATAGGTGGGCTCTGGTGAATATGGTAATGAACTTTTGGGTCTCATAAAATTTTGGAAATTTCTTGAGTAGCTGAACAGCCTCTGGCTTCTCAAGAAGGATTCAGCTTGATGAAGTTCATGTATAGAACATCTGGGATTCTCTCTCCATACATTCTTAAAATGTCCCTATACTATCTAATGTTGTTTATTAATGTATTTTTCTTTAAATTCTTAAACAATACATTTTATGAGTTGTTTCAATAAGTAGAAATTATAAAAGAAGTCAGAATTTTAATTTATTATAGTAAAGTTTGTAATTATGTTGCATAGCTCCCAGCCAGTGAACATACTAGTTTATTTCCAGAATGCTTTGTGGTGATGTAATGAACGTAGTGCAACTGGACTGGAGATGAAAAGTTTGTGATGTCCATCTGTGGCTCTACAGCCCTTTGTTGGACCTTGGCCGCTCTTTCAGTTTCTTCATCCTATACACAGTGGGGCTCCTTGGACAGGGGATCAGCCTGTCACAAGGCCACTACCTACACACAATAAATGCACACAGACATCCATGCCTTGAGTGGGATTCGAACCCACCATCCCGGTCCTCAAGCGAGCTGAGACAGTTCATGCCTTAGACCGTGCATCTGCTGTGGTCGGCATTTACCACCACCATTTTTTTATTAACATTTAGTTGTGTCATCAGAGAATTTCACGTCATGTAAAGGAGTGGAAGCATTGACAATACCATAATTCCAACAAGATATCATATGCAACTAGAGCACATGTTCACTCAATTATATACATAAGTGTTGTGGAAATTTTATAAGGAGAAGAGATATTTTCAAGCTGACAGTCTGGAATGAGAGTACATAAATAGCATGATAGAAGTACTTACCAAACTTTGGTGAACATACTCCTTCAGATAGCAAAGCAACCATAAGTTCTGATTCATACGTCTTAGTATTAATGAGGTGTGCATTTTAAATGGACTGTTCTAATACCATATGATGAGCAATTTGGGCATAAGAAGGATATCACCAATGGTCTGTCTCTCCCCCTCAGTTATGAGTAACATCTACATAATGTTATATACCCAGCAGGCCCAGCAGTATAACATATGCAGTCACAGGAGTAAGACAACACAAAGCACAATACACATGAAAGTAGGAAGAATACTCTGACAGAAGAAGATAGGTGTGACTCGCGTACTGAAATACAACATAAAGATGACAATCCTGAACAGTCCTAACATTTTTAATATTTAAAATTTAGCAATATACAGGGTGTCCCAGGAGGAATGTGCCAGACTTCGGGAGGGTGTTCCTTATGTTAAAGTATGCCGATATAACCCAAAACACCTATGTCCAAAGTTGAACGGTTACGGAGATAATGGCCCAAGAAAAGTGTGGTCTTCTGGCAGGTCCAAGCACTGTACCTCGCTGTACCTCTCAGCTGAGAGCCCTTATCTATGTTTGTCCTTGAGTGCGATGATACTCCCTAGCCGTGCTTATGTAGTTGGCTCATACCAGAACGCGCAGTCAGCACGTTACGTCATCGCTCGCCAGTCATGTGTTATGTATACTGCTTGGAAACCTAAGGACAATTATGACATGGCGAGCGAGTATTTTGTACTTCACTTTTATGGCTTTCCGTCACTCACAAGTTAGTTTGATGTTACGTACATTATTAACATTACAGAATCCACATATTCCTGCCAGTTTTAATATCTATTTTGTAATCAACAAGTGTGTAACCCCGGTCAAAGTTTGACACTTCTCTGGCCATTATCTCCGTAACCGTTCAACTTTGGACATAGGTGTTTTGGGTTATATCGGCATACTTTAACATAAGGAACACCCTCCCGAAGTTTGGCACATTCCTCCTGGGACACCCTGTATATGACAAATATATATTTTAGTATAAAGACAACAGGGCATGCAATGCAGTAGTTCGACGTACATCGAAAAGCACCTGAAGATGGCACATTAGTGCCGAAACATGTAGTGCAAGAGAGAAGAGTAAGATGAATAAATGTATGAACTGTAAGACGGTCAGAATAAATCATGAACATCTACATAACCTAGCCATATCCTTGGCCTACTCTCTCTGACCTTGTAGAGGCACTTACATGATGTCATACCCCAGCAGTTTTTTTTTTTTTTAGGTTTCTTGGGGTGGGGTGAGACTGAATGCACTTGGTATGTCTGCCACTAACTAGCGTATTGTACCAGCCCCTGATGATAGATAGATGATGATGTGTGTGTGGAGGAGTCAGTGGAATGAGAATTGGCAGGGGAAACAAGTACTCAGAGAAAACCTGCCCAGGTACACTTTGTCCACCACAAATTCCATATGACCCAATTCAAGTAGTGGGAAGCCAGCGACTAACCACCTGAGCTATGGCACAGCCCCATAACCCAGAAGGCCAATATGTAAACATTTCATTATACTGAACATTTTCTGGGTCAGCATTTCCTTGCAAGACCTCAGTGAGGACAGCCACTGAAAGCAAGAGCAGTTAAATTCTTGAAGCTCCAGCTCCAAATCTCCAAAATATAACTTTATTAATATCTTGTACCATGTAACATCATACTAATGAAGTGCCAGTACAGTACTGCATGCAAGGACAAAGGCCAGCAATGTTTTACAAAAATTTAATTTACAGTATATTTTGTTACAAAAATAATTATAAAAGTAAAAAACAACATAGTTACAAGGACACACACATATACATTATTCGTTCGTATTATTAATATACACATTTTTTGCTGAAGATCGTATTCATGTGCTACTCTTTCCCATCCTTCTGCACTGTCATGGTTATAGGACAAAAATCACTTAAGCTGATGGAGGTTTGGACAGCCACGTGCTTATGCCTCAACTGGCTGTGCCTGTTTCTTACCATAGCTTTAGAAACTATAATCTTCATTTGCCTCTGGACACGACCCAGATGAATTCGAAGAATTACATTCTAAATAAGAAGAAAAAGACAATTTATACTCTTGTATAATATTTTACCATTCATATATCAGTTTGATATGATTATTGGATTCTTGTGTGAAACACTACTTCCCACAAACACATTCAAGTTTAAAAGTTTTTAAAGTTTTAAGAAGCACTACGTGTTTTGGCCAACATGGCCACCATCAGGTGTTAAGAATATGTCTAATGAGGAAATCACTGCTTTCCTCATTAGACTTAACACCTGATGATGGCCATGTTGGCTGGAACATGTAGTGCTTTTTAAAACTTTTAAACCTGTAAATGTGATAAGTATGTGGGATGTAGTGTAGCACACAAGATGGTGAATGATCGAAACAAGTGAAAAGTGCAGCAGGAGGCTACAATACAATACTACCTGATACAACATCCCTTTAGTAAAATGTTCAAGTTAAGGTGTATGTTTTGTTCTCCACTCACATATTCCTTGAAAAGCTGGTGAATTGATATCCTGTATGTTACAACTGTGGTTATAGTTTGTGATCATTATTTTATTTAAGTTCTTGGTGAACTGCTGTGATACTGTTTTCTTCAGAGTGTTATGTGTTGATGGTAGCCAATAACTACTCATACAAAATGTACCAGAGGAGCATTTGCTATAATATTTATAATTTTTGGTTTATTTATGATGCTATCAGTATCTCAGATTATATAACATTGACTGGTAGGACAGGTGATAAATGATGACTTGGGAAGAAGCAGGCATCACCTAATTGAAGTACTGTCTCAGTATTTGCCTGGAAGGACAGGCATACCATAATGGATTCAGCAGATTAGTTGTTTTTTTTCCTTGGCACTACAGAACCAGTGGGCCTAGGCCTACCTCCATGAACTTCTCCGTTCACTTAGGTTTTTCTAGATCTTACACATGTGGTAGGACTCTTTGGACGGGTGATCAGCTCGTCGCAAGGCCTCTACCTGTACACAAACTGCAAAACGCACACACACAAACTAAATATCCATGCCCTAAGTGGGATTCGAACCCACGATCCCGGCTTCCGAGCGAGCGAAGACAGTGCATGCCTTAGACCGCTCGGCTACCGTGACCGGCAGCAGATTAGTTAGTGCCAGTAATATATCACATGAGGTAGGTCTATTCACACAATTAACACCCTTGCAAACAACAGTAATACAGTGAAATTCTCATTCTTTGTGCAGCAATGTATTTGAATACTAAATTGAGAAAAATCTATTGGAAATTTGATGGAATTACTAATTTGAGATGGATTAAACTGAACATTAAATGAGGGAAAATGTTAAATCTGTTGATATTAAATGATGGTTCCACTGTTTCTATTAAAATATTAAGGTATTAATGTATTCTATTCACTGTCTTGTACTTTCTTTGCAAACTGCCATACGTTGTTCTGGGGTAAGAGGTATTAGGAATGATAAATGGTGTTATAGAAACAATGTATAAGATTTTCCAAATTAAAACTTCTCAAAACTCACCTCATTTTTCAAAGAAGTAACAATTGATTCCAAGTAGGCTATATAACGCATGTGATTCTCATTCTGTGTTTGTGATTCCAACTGAACAATTCTGTTCTTACCTGGAAAATAAACATGGTTGTAAAAGTATTCAGTGTACACTTAACCAGCAGAAGAAATTATAAATGAAATAACCAGTCATTAATAAACACATTAAATTCACATGCAACTATTCGCTGTTTGCTGATACATTTTACAAATGGCAGGAATTTTGAACTATATACTGAGTAAATAACGAATATTAAGACTTCATTGTTCACTGCTACTAAATAAACTAAAAAAAAAAATTTATAGGTCTGTATTCTTCTAAGTCATATCTTAATATAGCACTGCATTAATAGAATCAAATAAGTATAATTTCAGAGCAGTCTGAACTCACTTAAGACTTCCTTTTAGTTTAGTTTTTCAACTGTGATTATGTTAAGGGTGTAAAATGTTGACTCTACTGTAAATGAAATTTGTATTTAATTTTTCATTACAACTTCTGTTTAAAACTTCTTTCTGATGAGTTTTCAGTGAGGTCAGGTGAAGATGTGCACAGAAACACATGCAGGTCTTCATGCAAGACAAGCATTAAAACTTTCCAAACTTGATGATAAATGAAAGAACTTAATTTTTGTAAAATTTTCCATGCCCAAATTTCATGGAAATCTGTGCTTTTTCATGCATACAGCTGGATGAATTGAGAAAATTTAATAAGCACTGTAGGTTTACCAACATGTATAAAAATGATACTACTTATGCATAAGAATTATGATGAAGCTTCACCGTTACAAAGAGAAACTATGAAATCTAAAATTTAAGGAACATTGTGACTATACATAACAAGTAAAGTAAAATTTCCTTACATAGTTCTAGTTCAGTCTTCATTTTCAGCTCTCTTTCCCGAGTTGTGTTTAATATTCTTCTCTGCCAAGCAACCTTCCTTTTTAAACATTTTAGCTCGCGATTTTCTTGCAGAGCAATTTTCATGTATGAAGCATTGCGTGCAGATTGTAGTTTCTCTCCCTGCTGGTCTCTTTCAGAAGTTGGCATCCCATGTGAATAGAGCATCTCAGTTTCCAACTTACGTTTTCCCAGTTCATGCTTTTCACCAGTTACTGTAAAGATGTTTGCATTTTCTTTCATGATGTTGTTGTTCAGTTCTGAAAGTACTTCAGATTTCATGTCATGTTTTATTTTTAGAATATTTTCTTCCAACACATTAGAAAGATTCAGGTTGTCATTCTTCACAGAACATATTTCTTCTTCCAATCTTAAATATTTTAAACGGAGCTCTGTAATTTCCATAATAGTATCCTCTAACATTTTTGGAACATTAGCAATTTCATCACCCAAAGCAATGTTTTCTTTCTCCAGTCTGGGATTCTCAGAAATTTGCTTTCCTGATTCCTCATATTTTCCTTCCAAACTTCTTGAAATAATTGCATATTTATTGTGCATCTCATAATTTTCTTTCTTTAGCTTTGAAATTTCAGAATTAAGATTGCGAACTACTTCAAAAGTTGTTTCCAAGCTTTCTGAGAGTTTTAATTTTTCATTTTCCATTTTGCATATATGCTCTAGTAACAGTGATTGTTCATCAACTGTTTCTCTTAATTTTACAATTGTCTTATTCAGATCTTCAGTCAGTTTTATATTTTCTTGCTTTAGCTTTGTAACCTCAGCTGGGAATCCATCTTCATTTTTTTCTTCACATCTGATCTCATTATCAGCTTGCCCATTACAATGATGACATACATTCGCTTCCTCGGTATTGGAACATGCAGCCCTTGCTTCCTGCAAATAGATCACAATGACTTTAACTACCCCCTAATGTATGACATATGCATGAAATCAAAGAATAACATGTGTGAACAACTGTGACATGGTTACAAATTAAGTGTGAGTCTATAAACTCAGCACACTCGCCATACTGTTTTGTTTTTGCTCAGTGACACTATATGTTTCATGCACCTAGGTTTAACTGAAACTGTTTATGACAGTTCCTGATTCAAAGCTGAAGATACATTCTTCTTCGATGGGAAAACCGTGTAGTCTCTAAGATATGTATGAACATTTTGGAGGAACCTACTTCCTCCATCTTCAGGACACAAGACTAAGCTGCAGGGGAATATCAGGGTATAAATACATGGAAAGGTGGGGCAATTTTAAAGTACCATGTCTCATATTTACTGCTGTTAAAACCTCATATCTCAGCGCAAAGAAAATTAGTGTATGTAGTCATAGCAGTGAATTAATTGCAAGTTATTAAGTAAATTCCTGCTGAAGAATACTGTCTTCTGGGATGCAATATCACACAGTCTAGCAGTCTGGTAGAAGTTCACTGACATTTCAGACAAAGATGTTGTCTCTGTCTTCAGGGTCTAAGAGTAAACCAAGCAAGTAGCAAGGAAGAGGATGGTTAGTTGCTTTATTTACTCTTTCACCCTGAAGATGGAGACAGCCTCCAAAAGTAAATGAATAAATATTTATGCATATGCAAGTTTTCAGACGCACCGGAATCATCCAATGCTTATTTTCTCAGAAACTGTTCAGAACATGTGCTTCTTTACATATTCTTCATTCACAGTTTCTTACTTCTGAATGAAATGAAAACACATTCAGGTATATACGGTAGCTGTATAAATATTAAGAAAGTGCTTTGGTCTCAGGTAAAACAAGCCACAGAATACATATTGAAAGCGGTAGGCATTGGGAAGGAGGCAGTGACCGCAGATAATATTAAAGGCCCTCCCCTCTTTGTTATCTCTAAATGATTACAATTCATTTCCCTTTCCTTATTTTATAAAATTCCAGTATTCACATTCATATTTAATGTGTCTTCCAGAGATCTATGTACCTAGATATAGAATTCATCATCCATATGTCACCTAATCAAGTAATGGAAAGCTTACTAAAATACTTGGCAGCTGAGATGGGGTTTTCATGAAGCACAGAAGGAAAAGAAAACAAGAAAAAATACACAGCAAAACATTAGCGAGAAATTAAAGGTATAAAGATAAATAGCATGAAATATAAATTAGAAATAACAGAGTAAGATGGTATGGACATATTTTTAAGAATGAACACAGAATATCAACGAAAGATTTTAATATGAAGCTAAAAGAAAAATCCAAGAGGAAGAGCAAGGTCAAGATGGGAGCAACAGGATAGGAATAATGTCACATAGAAAAAATAACATGAGAGGAAAGTGTTGAGCTTTGGGAAAACAGAGTGAGACGAAGAGGCTTAATTGATAGACAACCCACATAAAAGTGAATACATCAAAGTAAGAAAATAAAGATTCACACACATGCACAAACACACCAATTTTTTTAATCTGCAGATTTTAAAATCAAAACATTCAACCTTACTTAATGTCATTTACATTTTATGAGTTCAGAGCATACTCACTTCCAAACATTGCTTTAACTCATCACATCGATTTCTCAAATTACTCTCAGTCAATTCCCATCTCATTTCAGAATCATCCCTTCTTGTTTCAGATTCCAGTAATTTAATCCTTAACAGCTTCTGTTAAAAAATGAAACAGACAAATCAGTCAAATCTTCAAACACAAACTCCTTACCCTTGCCCATGTGGAATGACAGAGAATACATCTCAGAGAGTTGCTCATTTGGGTATTTTCCCAACAAAACTAAACAGCATGAAGATTGTTAACACAGTGACAGATATCTGATAGTTTGAAGAAAAATTTTATATCACTGTCAGTAGGTAGCCTTATATATAGTGTCAAATGGTATGATGACTTATGAATGATGAAGTGGAAATGGCTTGGGGGGGGGGGGGNGAGGAAAACCATGAAAAACCTCGGTCAGAACAGTAGGCATCTTGGCTGACCTCAAGCGACCTACATTCCATTATGAACCAATATGGTTGAAAATCAGAACTGTCTTGACATCTTTCAGTGAACATCTCCCACATCATATTTCAACCCAGTCTATGGAAGTTTTATGTGATACATGGGAGACTTCATTCATGGGTTTATGTAAAGTAGGCTTTAAAATTAGTCAAGATTGTTAAAACTACAAAACAGTTCAAAATCTGGACAGCATAGATGTCTTCACTACTGCTATCATAAACCATATCAGATTTCAGGAAAATACTAACTCTTACTGTTAATATGCCTGATATCATTTTTAAGGATTGACCTTATGAAGATAGACAAGATATTTCAGCAACAGTAAAAGAATGCCAGTTACTCCATTAACATGAAAGTATATACTTTAGTTTTGGTTTTTTCTTCAGCTGGTTTCTGACATATAGGGAAGCATAAATGTTATTAACCACAAGTAATGAAGATTCAAGGGCTGCTATGTTCAGTAAATACACAGAGCTCATTCAGAATGACATAAGGCTCCACATCAACATGTGCAAAAGCCAGTGTGCTGTGCCATTGGTGGGGGTACTTTAGCCATCAGCTTGTCTCTGGCTGCCACAGTGCACTGATAATGATGGTGAATATATGCAGAAAGAAGTATTTTTTTGTATTGCTAGTGGTGTACTGTGGCCACTTCTGGCCTATTGTACCAGACCCAGATGATAGGTGAGGGTGATTGGGGAGCAATTGGTGGAATGAAGACTGACAGGGGAAACCAAAGTACTCGGAGAAAACCTGCCCCAGCGCCACTTCGTCCACCACAAATCCCACTTGACCAGACCCGAGATCGAACCCGGGCCGCCTCGGTGGGAAGCCAGCGATTAACCGCTTGAGCTATGGCACGGCCAGAGAGAGAAGTAAGTTGGAAGGAAAGGGCCGCACCATAGCTCAAGCGGTTAGTCGCTGGCTTCCCACCGCAGCGGCCCGGGTCTGGTCAAGTGGGATTTGTGGTGGACGAAGTGGCACTGGGCAGGTTTTCTCTGAGTACTTCGGTTTCCCTTGCCAATCTTCATTCCGCCAATTGCTCCACAATCACCCTCACCTATCATCTGGGGCTGGTAAAATAGGCCAGAAGTGGACGCAGTACAAGGGACTTAGTCCCACCCCACTAGCAATAAAAAAAAAGTTGGAAGGAAGATGGTTATTTCCAGTTAACTATATAACAAATATATAATGTATGAAGGACCTTTCAGAAGGTTGACACCTCAATGCGGTGTGAGGGCCCAGTACCTAACAAACAAGACATTTTGCTAAGGGAACTATGCTTGCTGGCTGATGAGGAGGGGATAAGATAAGAGCAAACCTCAACACAGTGTCTGAAGATCCCAATGATCACCTGACCAATACAATGTCTGAGTATGATTCAGTTATTCAGGAGAGTTAATAGAAAAGGTTATCCTTTCAGTGGGGGTAATACACTGAGGAGATAAGCCAGACAACTTGAAGACGGTAGCCCCATCATTGACCTACTCTGCATGTCACCCATAACATCTTCAGGGTAAAAGGTATTACATGCAAGGCTGATGAAATTTGCCTTGGAGTGGGACTTGGGTCTGATCCTTGCTACAGCATTAGGACAAGAAGCTTCTTGAAATGCAAATGAGTCAAACAATTACAGGAAAGATGTTGAAGCTATGGGTGTTACTTGTGCTACAGCAGATTAACAAAGAATAACATAATGAAACTGAAAGATAGTCATTCACATTACACATGATACAAGTCAAAGTGAATTCTGAGAGTGAAATCGAGTGGCTCTAAGATGGCACAAGACTCAACAGATTCCCACCCACCCAGATCATCCTAGTGATCACAGGGTCAAAAGCCATAATGTGTAATATAATCCAGCACCAAAATCTTCATCAAGGGAAACTGAAGTGATTTGCTGCTTAACTAGCAGTGACATCCCTATGTTGGAACTATGTTGGAATGTCATGTCATATAATGTTGCATGTTCAGCTGCTTCATAGCAGCAGCTGGCCTCCCTTCTGCCATGCCCACTACCAGTCTGCGCTCCTAATTTCAGGTGCCTTATCATTCCTCAAATGCTTTCCATGTATCGTCATTCCAAACAAGCAATAACAAAACAAAACATCAAATTAATTTGGTAGAATGTATTCAAGAGATTATACTCGTACTGTGAACTGAGTAAAAAATTAAGAGGAGCAAGAGGCCCTTGTACTTCTATTCCTCTCATCATGTCCTTGCCATGATACATTTACTGAAAACATTAATTAAGCTCACCAATTCCTTTTCTAGAAGTTCAGTCTTCTTTGACTCACCATCACATGTCCCTGATTTATCCAGTAACATTAATGTGCTCATAATATCCTTGCATCTGTCCTCTGACTCGTTTAGTTTAGCTTCAAGACGCTCATTTTTATCCTCAAGTTCATAAATTTTTTTATTTGCTTCCAAAATCTGAAGAGAGAAAGAAGTTATTATCACAACATACACTAGCTAAAACTGTAAACAAGGAATGACACTCAAATAAAAAATGAAAGTATTAACTGTAAGAAGAACATAAATATTTATGATAATGTGATGCACACGTCATGAATTTAGTTATTCACCTGCATGATTATTGCCATACTGTCATGTTTCATTCTCTTCTTCTCATTATTAATATATGAGTCAGCCATTCATAGCCATCTTTAAGTATACGGTATGCCATAAGTTGTTTCATTATAATGCCCTCTTACTGAGTGAAGCACTTGTTAGAATTAAAATTGAAAGGTAGAAAATGTAGGTTAAAATTAATTAATATGCAATTAAAATTAAATTTGATTTCTAACAGGGGAAAGAGATTTTTCTCTTTTCCATAGTGTCAAGACTGGCTCTGGGGCTCACTCAACCTCCTATACAATAGGTACAGGGAAGAAAAGAGCAGGTGCATGAAGCTGACCGCTCACCTGCATCTAGTGCCAAGATTAAGAATGATGGAGCTATACCTCCACTCCCTCTACATTTTGACTGTGTGGTGCTTAATTAGGCCCATGGATAATGTTACCTTTACCATAGAATTAAAACTGAAGTATATAATTGATCAAAGACTTCTCTCTGAAGGCTGAATTCTAGAGCACACTCATATGTGGGGATCAGTTGTAGTTCATTATTTGTATCTCATTTGCTGGGCATAGTGTTTATGATGGCAAAAGAAATAGGCCTTTCTGAGGTGCTTCTTGTTGTATGTAGACTTAGATGCAGATATGCTGTTACTTGCCTCTGTTTATTGGATTTGTTGTTTGTGGTTGGTAAGTGATGGCCACGTAGGGATGAAACATGTATTAATAATGAGAAAGAACAGATGAAATGTGCCAGTGCAGCAATAACCACACAGCCATTGAACATTTAGGAAAGCTGCATTAATAACTAACTAAGAAATAACTAAGCAGTTAATAAATGCAACAGGATGCTCAAATATAACATTACGATTTATGAAGTCTGACAAATAACTGGACTTAATCGGGGCCAGGTTGTTAACCCTTGTCACCACTAGACCTTTGACTTTACCTTTGACCTTTGACTATGAGTACATTTCAATATTTCTGCATGCCTCAGAAGACCTTTTGTTTCAGGAGCATAAAAAAGTGACATGGCCTAATGAGGTCTGTACAGAAAATTTATGGCATTTGTTCTTGGAATTAAATCACTTTAACAAAAGTGAGGAGACATTCTGATGATACAGAATCCAGATACTTTGTATTGTTTCATAAGTGTGCTGCTGTAGATATTCCAAAACTTGAATGCACAAGGTATGGCTGACCATTTTTAAAAAAACTGATAACTGTTAACACATTCACTGCCATGGCCCCATGCTGATTTCACCTGCCAGGCCAGACATTTTTCCATGAAAACCAGAATTTTGACTTCCTAAATTCAAAATGGAAGAGAACAAATAAGATACAATCAGTATCCACTGTACATTTCATTCTCTCAAGCTTTAGTAATCTACGTTCAAAACTCTTCTGTCTTTAAGTGACATCTGTATGAGAAAATGACATTTATGTATTACACAGTGGCAACAATCTGTCACTTGATGGGATCAGCACTGACCTATAGGAAATTTTAATTCATCAGATGATGAAATTTAAGGAACATGTTTTCTTTATTGCTAGTGGGGTGGGACTGAGTCCCTTGTACTGTGGCCACTTCTGGCCTTTTGTACCAGCCCCAGATGATAGGTGAGGGTGATTGTGGAGCAATTGGTGGAATGAAGATTGGCAGGGGAAACGAAGTACTCAGAGGAAACCTGCCCCAGCGCCACTTTGTCCACCACAAATCCCACTTCACCAGGCCCAGGATCCAACCCAGGCTGCCGCGGTGGGAAGCCAGCGACTAACCACTTGAGCTATGGCACAGCATCTTAAGGAATGTGTTAATTCTAGCAATATCGGTCAAGCAGATCAGCTTCCCTGGGACTTTTGACTTTGACATTCACAATTCCTTCAGTCTTGGAAACTATTAGCTTTGCTATTCAAAATTTTTTTTTCTTGGGCTTGCTGGAAGACTCAAGTCTTCTCTTCACTCACTATTTTTCCAGAAATTTGGATTTTGAGCTAAAGGGTTAGTCTGGCATTAATTTAGTGTCCTTTTTCTTTTCTAGATATAACTTGGTTATTTCTTTATACTTCAGACTTTTTGAATAGAATCTAAATTCAGAGAAGGATCTTTCTTCCTGATCTTCAATGTTTCTTTGAGAGTAAACCTATTTTTTGTGTTTCTAATGAAGATAACATATGAGATTTGAATTTCTCACAGCAATGATTATGAAAATTACTGTTTTATGGGATGTGATGCCACATAGCCTGGTAGACAGGTACCAGTGCTTTTGGGAGGAACATGATGTGTGCATCTACAGGGTAACAGATTTCTCCAAATCTTTCATAAACATCTACCAGATTACAAGGTGTCACATCCCAGAACAACAGGAATCTTCAAACAAAACATGATGGTCAATGAAACACTTACTGTGCTAAGAAAACAAATTGGATCTTAGACACTGTTTGCCACAAAGCTGCTATTACACACAGCTATATGATGTAACACATAGCACCTCACAGTGATGCAAGTTGCTAAGTAAAACATCAATCCTGTTATGTATTTGAGAGAGCTTGTACTAGTAATGGTGGAGTTTGGAAATTTGTACCTGATCACTGAAGAATTCCTCATACGCTTCCTTTTCATTACGTGTGAATTCCTGCAACTCATCATATTCTGCCTGATACCATGAGATACATTTCAGGAAATCAGATTTCTTAGTACTATGTTCCAAATCTTCAGCACCACATTCCCTGAGACAGTAAATCACATAATTATTCTCCACTTACAATATGACTCTACTACACAAATGTCATATTTACCCAAGTTAAAGACCTCTACTCTTATTTTCATTTTACATACATGAATGAAAGAAATATGTATGAAGAAAAGCATGATAACAATTTGTGGGAAAATACATTTTAGGCAACCATAGAACTTTTCAAAATGTGTGTATCCATTGAGTATCATTACCTAGATGAAATATTTTGAAAGCAGTAATTGTCAGATCTTTGTTTCAGTTACCACAGTATTCAGTTACAGAACGACAGAAATGGATGTACTGCATGAGAACACAGTTCTAATTGTAACAATTAAACCATTACATTCAGAGGTAGAATGTCTCAGGCAGTATAGCAACTAGACTAGAAACTGGGCTGGAAGATCAGAGTTCAATTCTCAGACAGGAGACAGACTTTTCTTTTCTCAACAACTTCCAGACCATGCCTCGGCCAGCCTCCTATCTGCTGGTCACCAGATCTTTCTGGGGTGGAGTTGAAGTGACCAGGGCATGAGCCAAGCAGTGATCTTCGTATAGTCCCAAGGTTAAGTGCAAGTGTGTAGTGATATACCTCTACTCCCACACAGCTTTATGATATGGTGCAGGGACAACAACTACCAATATATTCACACACAAGTTATCGAGTTCTTTGTTTCTGGGAGCACAGCTTTTGCTTTTCAGATACATTTTTTAGTGATGCAACATTACTGAGAAATGATTCTGCATGCCTACAAGCTCAAAATGAACGATCCTGAAGTGTAGATGTTCGTATATTGATACTCTAGACACACATATCTTGAAGTGTGCCAGATATTGCTTAGCTTATAGATGAAAAGTGACCCTTTCTCAAGACATTTAATATATGGTACTGACAATATGTAATCGATGTTGTCTATTTAAAAATTTACATTTTTATAGGTCTCCATCATTGATCCTTATAAAATGAAACAAAAGTAAAACTAAAACAGTGAATATGAAGTTTTTCAGGGAAGAAACAAGAAGGAATAAGATTATAAATTAACTTTTAAAGAAGCTGGAAATAATATTTCTTGACAGGGGTAGAAGCAAAATGATTACAATGGTATGGCTATGGAAACACAATGGATAGAAGAAAATGCTGAGAAGGGCATTAGATTTAATATTCAAAGGAGCAAGACCTATTTTACCAGAAGAGAATTCTGTGCACCTAATACGAGCATGTATTAATATGAGGGAAAAAGTTATACTTGTGTGGGGTTCTGACTATTGCAATGCAGCTGTCTTCAGTCAACTATGTCATTACATTTGAGAAAACATGATAATGTGATAATTTTCTCTGCAATAATCTTATGGTTACAAAAAAACATGAAAACAAATTAATTAAATTACCATTTAATATGAGGTAGAACTGCATCATCTGACCTATTTTTCTTATGCGTATTTTGAGGTGTTCTCTCATGTTCCAGCTCTGATGTTGACAACCCAACTGAAACCCAGAATTGGCAAATATTTACTTGCATGTGTTGGGTCAAATGCATAAACTATGTCATTTTTCTGTACTTCATTATGAAAAATAAGTTTATACGCTTTGTCAAGATTTGTCAGTACTTACATGTTAATGGATGACTAAAACCTTACCGCCAGGTTGTCAACCACATTAACACTACCAACTGTAAGAGATTAATTGTAAAAACGAAATGCACAACGTAACTGCAGAAGACTCCTAGATGTTTATTAAAAAAAAAAACATAACTCTGTGGACTTGATGTTAGAAGCAAATTCTAAGATTAGGCTTTGGGCCTTGTCTTTACAAATAAAAATTTCTAAGGCTGACACTACTAACATGGCAAAAAACATCAAGGTAAATTTTAAAAGTTACTTGGGTCACCTGTTAAAATGTAAGTACTGATTTGTCTTAAACAGCGTCATAACTATGCTAAAAGACCAACCTATAGCTACACACACACACACAAACATATATACGTATACCCTCATATAAATGCAAAGTGGAAAGAAAAATGCATATGTGCACACCCACACACAATCCCACAATGGAAAAATCATTTTCTGTCTATATGTGACTCTACAGTCCTTTGACGGACCTTGGCCACTTATTCAGTTTCTTAATCTTTTACATAGTAGGACTCCTCGGAATGTGGATCTGCCCATAGCAAGGCCACTACCTACACACAGAACAACACAAACACAGCTTAAGTGAACACAGACATCCATGCCTTGAGCGGAATTCGAACCCACGATCCCAGCACTCAAGCGAGCAAAGACAGTTCATGCCTCTGAACCCTTAGGCCGCACAGTCACTGTGATTGAAGTCATTTTCTGCACTCCAAAAATGAAATTTCATGTGACCAAGTCATCCACTATTTCTTCAACTTCTCTCTAACCAACTTAGTTATTCCATATCACTCACTCACTCACTCACTCACGGAGCTGAGCCCTTCTTGAGAAGCCGCCAATTCTTCAGCCAGTCAAGAATTTTCCAACATATGCAACCTGAGGGTTCATTACCATGTTCACAAGAAGTCTCCACTGATTCCTATCCTCAGCCAGATCAATCCAGATGAATGTCATTATTTTCTCTTGAATTTTGGTGACAAGATAACAACATATACTTAATTTCCTCTGTGTTTACTCCTAGACCAACCTCCTTACTAGGGCCAATTAAAGTTTCAGTTTTTTCTTTATGGTATCTATATTATCACCCAATAAATTCACATCATCAGCATAGACCAATAACTGATATGTCCCATTTAATTTCAGTACCACCTGGTTTTCTTGGACCCTGCCTAATAGCATATTCTAAAGCAAAGTTGAAAAGCAGTGGCGATAAAGCATCTCCTTGTTTTAGACCATTCTGGATAGGAAAATTATCAGACAAATGTTTACCTATATGGACTCTACCATATGTTTCATTTTAATCAGCCTGGCTAGTTTCAAGGGTATCTCAAACTCTATCAGAATATTGTACAATATGTCCCTCCCACCTGAATCATAGGCTTTCTTGAAGTCTACGAATACGATGTACTGTAGCTATCCCTTATAATGATCAAAAGTTGGCTCTTCAGGAACTTTATGATGTCACTTCAAAGAAAACTATGTTCTTGATGTAAGATCTGAGGTTTTCACGGTGGTGACTATGAAAATACCATCTTCTGAAATGTGGTACTGTGCAGATATTATGTTAGCCGACGTTTTGGAGGAACGTATCACGTCCATCTTCAGGGTAGAAGAGAAAAGAAAATCTGTGAGTGAGGAACCAGCATGCTGACAGACTAATGTCGAGTTGAATAAACCCAGCTGTATAAGAGCAGGAAGAGAAGGGAGAGGGGCTACATGGGAAATCAGTAGAGAGGAGAGGGAAAGGGTCTATGGAGATGGACCTGCAGGTATAGAATATTGTGTCAGGGGGGAGAAAGGCAAGGTTAATGGGAGGGCATTAATTAACCCAGAAGCTTCAGGGCTACAATGAGAGCCGGGCATGGACCTGAGTGGCTTTGTGGATCTGGCATCATGTCCTCGAGGTTTCTTGAGGGAACAGATGAGACAAAACCTCACCTCTCTGTTAATATTTTCAGGATGGAATTCAATCTCAATGGCCTCCCTAATGATGTGATCCATATATTTGGGTCTTGGTGGCGAGGATGGAGGTATTCTGAAGCTGAATGCAGTGTCCCAAATCGATGCCGTGTTCATGATGCTCACTGCATTGAATATTTAAGACTATTGTTCTTTGGTTTGTGATCCACGAAATACAGCATCACACTACATTGTGCTCCCATAAGAGTAATGTTACTTACATCTATCTGACGTGCAGGTGGAGGTAATCACAGCCATGACATTGTTTGCTTCGGCGTCATTTTCTTCCTCTTCCATAATGGGTTCAAGTGTAGGAGTGTAATTCGCAAGTGGGTAATATATCTGGGGCATGTCTTCTAATTTCTAAAAATAAAGGAACATTTTTAATGAATTTCATAATTTGTTTTGAGCACATTGATGTGTGCAAATTATATTAATTTATTGATTGGAAACATAATTACTGCCACGTAACAGAGTTACTATTGATGGGATTTGGATTAGAAAATCGGATTTTTAATTACAGGTAAGGATGTGCTCTCACCGTTCTTCACACTACACAAATTCCTGTAGAACGCTCTAGGTCTTCTCTTTCTCGCAAACTGCTTTCAGCGTTATCCTTGGCGTCAGCTATCAGCTTCACACAGTAGCACCTTACAGCGGGTGAATCCCGACGGTTATCTCACTAACTCTCACTCACCAACCAACTGACGGAATCCTCACTGTGTCCTTAGAACATCGCTGGACGGACATCGTAGAAAACACGGCTTCCCACCGTTATTCCACTGTTGCGTCATTACTGCCTAGCAACGAACGTAAGCTGTCGAACGATTCCTTAGCAGCGGCTGTTGCCTAGCAACGCGTCTGCAAGCGACAATACCTTATACCCACGGTTCCCGGGGGGGGGGGGGTATAGAATAATTTTTTTATTGGTGGTTTGGGGTGGGTTGGGGGGTGNGGGTTATATATATATATATGTGTGTGTGTGTGTGTGTGTGTGTGTGTGTAGACTGCCTAGAGAAAATGTGGAAGCCTCGATATCTCACAACTCTCATAACTTGTTACAGGAATGGCTTTACCTTTTGGCCTGCTTCTTTAAAACCAATTCTACAGGCAGCAACAACCAGGCATTGCGGTAGACAGACATAATTGCCATGCGCCGTTAGTAACGTCCTTAATATTGCATTTTTTAACTGTTGAATCTGATCAGATGCGTGATCAGAAAATTCTGAGTGAGATGCCATTATTGCACGCTATTCGCATAATTTCATCAAATTCTCCATAAGCATCATCACCAGTACAGGTACAATGGAAACCGACGTGCCGAGGGGACCTAATATGGATTCCACCTTCCACTATATGAAATCTTAACTATTGTAATCTACTGTAAACAATTTTAAGTATTGTAACTTTATTCTCTTATTGTAGTCAGCCAATGTACAGTAACTGACTTGTCCTGTATCATGTAACAATGATCTATAGAGAGGAAATAAATAAATATGAACTATGCGAGTTACGCGTATATAGCCCTTCATGTATCCCTGTTAAAATTCTCAGGGCGGTGACTGGAGGGTATCATATTCCGGAATGTGATTCCTTGTAGACTGGTAGAAATTCACTGATTTTTCAGAGGCACGTACTCATTGGTCCAACTTTAAAACTTTCATGTGCTGATCCGTGGTCGTCGTGTCGCTCGTAGATGTTGATTCATCGTGCTACTGTGATTTTCTACGGTTACACAAGCAGTGTATAGCGGGCTGTGAGTTGAGTTGTATGAACTTATATGTGTGTGACTGAATGAAAAAACACTTTTTCATTGTGTTAAGTAAGGAACTGCTTTTCATTTCTTTGGTATTACGTTACTATAATTGTGAATGTATGCGGCGAATAATAAGTAATTGTTGCTTCATAATACCGTGTACAAGGGTTTTGTGTTTAACGGAACAAGTAAATAAATGTCTGACGTAGCCTGCTCCACCTAGAACCGAAGATGCATGTTGAATAATGATTGTTTGCATGTGATTTACTGGTAACATATTTTTGTGGTTTTCGCATACAGAAGGAGCTGTAATGAGCCTCACTTGATAAATCGTATCGGCAAGTTGTATCTTTGTGAGGAAAAAGAATTGCATTGCAAATAAATGGAATAATTGTCATAATTTGTGTACAGTGGTGCCATTTAATGTAAGTGTACCGAAGCAAGTGTTCAGTAGTATCACAACAGGTAATCTTAACTCTTTGTTTTGTGGAAATACAGCACGTTCTATGGGGTGGATTGTAGTTTTATGGGTACTAGAAATGTTTGCTGTTTTGGACATAGAAAAGGGTAAAACTATCCCTGTAACAGGCTGTGGAGGCCCGTAGGTTTGTGAGACGTCTAGGCTTCCACATGTTCTAGATCATCGGCTCATAGATGGCGGTGAGGTCAGCCTTACACACTGGCCACCCTTTATCCTCAGGAAGATTCCTGGTACTCATTTCTGTTAGAGGCTGAGTCAATCCCAGGGGCATAGTGGGGCTGGAAGTATTAGGTCATTTGAAAAATCCAATGAGCTCATCAGGAATCTAACCCATGACCTGACTTGTAGCATAGTGCCTCAACCAACTACACTATGCCGAATGCCCCATTCTGGACATATGATTTAAGCATTTTCTTCTGAAGTTCTTATAGAATTTCCTCACCTCAGTTGTGGAAGTTAATAGCAATATATTTATTTATTTATTTATTTATTTCGTCTCTATAGATCATTGTTACATGATATAGGACAAGTCAGTTACTGTACATTGGCTGATTACAATAAGAGAATAAAGTTACAATACTTACAGTTGACTTAATAAGATTACAATAGTTATGATTTCATATAGTGTGAGGTGGAATCCATGTTAGGTCCCCTTGGCACGTCGGCTTCCTTATGTCCTATTGTACCTATACTGGTGATAATGCTTACGGAGAATTTGATGGAATGAGTTGAGTTCTTGTGCAAATTCCTTCTGTCCACATTGGTTTTTTTTGCCCTCTGTTCTGCCTGATGGATTTTGGAAATATATCAAAATAGCGACAGTGCCAAAACGTTTGAAAGTAAAACCTATGGGTGGTAAAAGAGCATGGCTAACACTCAGGCACACTTAGGCAAATACTCCCAGCATAAATAAGATATTACTCACAAAGGTTTTAGAAAGCATTTAATTCTAGAGATAGAGGACTGTGAAATTAGAGTCACATTTGGTAGAATTGGTAGTGAAGTCACAATATTAAATAGGTGGATTTAAAATGTGACTAGTTAGATATGCCAAATTTTGTGTTGAAATATTTACATTGTGCACTGACAGACATAGGTCTTCTATTTTTCTTAAGTATTTCTACATATTTATATTTCTCCAACAAATCCAAATTTGGTGATGGGTTAATTTAAGTTCATCTGAAATAAAGTGAAATTTCTGCAGAAAGGTTAGAGGTGAATATATGTTAGTACATGTTGAAGTGGTGTGTAAAATTGTTTCACTGAGACTATTAATCATTAGGAGAGCTGGTAAGTAATATGTCACATTATCAGCTTCAGTGGTAATAGTTGCATTAAGAAAATAATAAACGGTTAGAAAGTTTTAAGTGTTCTTGATGTGTCCCCACTTTAGAAGGCTTTGAGTTCAGAATAGAGTTTGGATCCTCCCAGCATATATACTTTTGCATGAAAAGATGAGGGAAGTACATATTATGAACGTGGCAAAAACTAGGGTAAATGAATGTAAAGAAATTAGGATACATTAAAGTTCATAACTTGACAGAACATAATAGTGGAAACATTATAGATTACCCAAGAGTGGTTATTTCTCCTACTCTAAATCCCCTGGAAAGAACACCTGTTTGCGATCAGAAAGTATTGTGGTTTACTTTTAATGACATCTGCACTTTGTCCTTTGATGAACATAGCATGGTTGAGGGCCAGCAATTTAAGCTGCATTTTAAATAATTGCAACAGTTATGGAAATATGTATTTTGAGAGTAACATTATGCTCTTATGTTCATAAGCCTGCATGCTTTTCATGTCACTTATGCTAAATGATGCAGCGATTCATTGATCACTTATGTTAATTTAGATTGTGGTATGGGTTTCTTTTAATTTTGGTTCTCCTGTTTCTCACCCAAATTGTCTCTTTTTTCTTTCCCAAGTCATCTTTCTTCTTTTACCTGATACTTAAGTGATGCAGTCCAATGGTTTTTTTATCTCTGTGTTTGCAGTATATAATTCACACTGTCTACTGAGATGTAGTACATAACCTGTTCCAGTTCAGTTTTCTCCAACTTCAAATACTGACCTAATTATGTCTGAATTATTGATCCCACCATGCTATGGAAGTTATTGATACATGTGAGCATGAAAATTAATGTATAGTACTAATGAGATGTCTATATATAACACAGTCTATCAATACTGGAACAAATTGTTCCTTTCTCTTCTACAACATGTTTCAGACTTAGATGTCTTAATATATCAGATCTGCTACACTGCATTAATATGCGGTAAAATCACACGCTGTGGTGCACTTAATAAAATAAAATAAAATCTATTAAAATTTTCATCACTCTGATGAAATTCTATTCTACCTCACGAAGGGCGTGAAGACAACACACGCTGCTAGAGGGAACAGCATACAAACAAGGGGCATATTACAGATTGCAGATGTAACAGCAATGGGCTAATGAAACAAGCTGCTGCACCAAACACGGAGAGAAACATATACGAATAGTTATAAACAAGTGGACGGCACCCCTTGTGAGGTGGAATAGAATTTCACAAGAATGATGAAAATTTTAATGGATTTTATTTTATTTTATTTATTTTATTAAGTGCACCATAGCGTGTGATTTTAACACTTATTAATGCAGTGTAGTGGTTTTGATATATTAAGACCCCTGAGGATGGTCATCTAATGCAGTAACATGTGCTAAAGTATAGGTGGAAGAGAAGGGAACAGATTGTTGCCTTATTGATGGACTGTGTTATACATAGACGTTTCAGTATGGCTTGCAACAGGATGCTTAAATACAGAATTACTAATATGAGGTTAGCAAGGTTGTGAACACTAGTAATTACAAATGTGAATGAATATGTTGAATTCCCTGACTTGTTGGATAGCATTTGTCGGGCCTGCACAAATTTCATATAATCCTTTCTTTTTCTTCCCCCCCCCTTTTTTTCCAAAATTACAATTGAAACATCTACAATTGTATAGAGATGTGAGGCATGTAAGACTCATATAACACAAATTAAACTACAGTGGAAAAGCAGGCTGTTAATTAAAGGCTACCACAGCAGGCCTGTGAAAGAGGAATGCCTTGTCACCTACAGAAACCAGTATGATGACAAGTTACACTCTGCATAATAGCTGTCATTTCTGTCAAGCTTGGGGAAATCCATCATTCTGTTGCCTAAGACATGAGGACAGGAGTGATGCTAGGATCACAAATAATAAGGGAAGGGAAATATATAAGGAGACAAAGGTAGAAAGAGATAAGAAAGGAAGAAATGAAGTGTTTTCCCCATCTTTGACAGGTCATCTGCACTAGTAATATAGAGGAAGGAACTTTAAATGCTATCATGAAAATTATAGACACCATAATGATTTGGTGGCCCAAATTTCTGTAGGCCTGGTCACTGTCACTGTGTTTTTTATTCATCTCAGCTGTCCTGGGTATGGATGTTGACACAATAGCAGTAATACATACACACACAGTGTTTTCTGCAGTTTTGGCCATCACAATCCTGATCTATGAAAGTAACTTTGTCTCTATTTGCAGGCGCTCCATTAGTCTGGATTCATTCAAACTTCTTCCAGAGATATTAACCAAAGTTTTTAACTCTTCCAATCCACATACACACACGTGGATTTAGGGCAGGTTAGAACTGTGGTGGTTTTTAGTATTGACATTACTTATTCGTTTTCTAAAAGTTGTGAATTTATTCTTTTTCTTTTTACATAACCATTTAACCCACTGGGAACAGCATTTAAATGTATTTGTTAATGACATATTTTTATTGTACACTGGCAAGCAAATAGCATGGTCTTACCAGCAAATCCATACAATCCCTGTTGATAAACTGCGAATAAGGTTTAAGCCAAAACAGAAATCTTAAATCTAAATCAAGTACACAGATTTCTCATTGGTTTTCACCCACCAGTCTGTACATAGTATGAAATTACTTTGATAAATATCATTTTAGCATAGAAATGACTGTGATGAAACTACCTACCTTAGCAGAAATTCCTGAACAGCTGAATTAACTGTTGGGTGCTCAGGGCCTGTGCCATGATGTGAGTTTATAAGCCCACATACTAATTTCTGTTGCTGCTGCTGAGAGGTTGTTTGTCTGGTTTGTGTTGCCAGTTTGCTTCCTTTTTACAGAATTGAAGAATCATGATTGAGCTCACAGTGAAGACATTAGATTCTCAGAATCATGGGTTTTCTGTACCAGATGATGTAAGTTCATTTTGAATTAGTTGTACCCTTTTTAACATTGTATTGCTTTAATTTTTTAATACCTCATTCCCAATTAGTGATACTATATTATAAAACGCTGTGTACTCATACTCATATACCTTTATTTCCATAAATCCATAAAAAGTATAAGGATGTGGAAATAACCAGTAGGAAAAAGAACAGTACAAACATACATATAGTCAAGTAACACTACACAATATCATTACATTTATGGGCACAAAACAATACAAAAAGCCTAATATTACAAACTATATGATTAATCACTTATTACAAAGAAATTATATCTTTATTTTTGTCTTATTCAAAATCAGAATATTCTTCCATTGTATAAAATGAATGGCAACACAAAAATCCTTCAAAGCCATTTTAAAACCTTTGCAGTTATTGTATAATTGCTTTAAATATAAACGAAGATTATTAAGCACCTTGATAGCAAGTTCCCTTCTGATACAGTGATAGATGAGCTGAGGGTTGATAAAGATTAAGATTGTAACCCTGTCTTGTATTTCTGTTATGCATATCTGATATAAATTGGTATGAATCCATGTAATCAATCACAAAACACAATAAAGAATAAATACATGGTGTGTTCAAAAAGTATCGAACCTTTGGTCGGCAGAAATACATTTATTGATTTGGAGGTACAAAACCCTAATCCCCTTCAAAGTAGTCTCCTTAGTAATGCGCACACTTCTCCCAGCGCTTCCGCCATTGTTGGAAACACTTCTGGAACGCATCTTTTAGAATGGTGATCAGCCGGGCCGTTGGATTTCGCATGATATCTTCTCTTGACTCAAATCGGGTTCCTTTCAGCGGCATTTTCAGCTTGGGAAATAGCCAAAAGTCACACGGAGCTATGTCAGGGGAGTAGGGAGCCTGACGAACCACAGGGATGTTGTGTTTGGCGACGAAAGTCTGAATCAGATGCGCAGAATGGGTGGGTGCGTTATCATGATGGAGCTGCCAAGTTTATGCTGCCCACAGATCCAGTCGTTTGTGCTGCACAGCATCATGAAGGCGACGAAGGACCTCCTGGTAGTATTCCTTTGTGATGGTTTGGCCTTGTGGTGCGTACTCATGATGCACAACCCTACGAGAGTCGAAGAAAAGGCCGACATGACCTTGACATTGCTGCGGACCTGCCGTGCTTTTTTTGGCCTGGGGGATGTCGGATGTTTCCACTGTGACGACTGCATCTTGGTTTCTGGGTCGTACCCATAAACCCACGACTCATCGCCTGTGATCACGGTGTTCAGAAAGTTGAGGTTACTGTTTGCATTGTCCAGCATGTCCTGTGCGATTTCCAGATGGCATTGCTTCTGCTCCATTGTTAGCAGTTTCGGTACGAATTTTGCGGACTCTCCTCATGCCCAATCATCGGTCAAAATTGAATGTACCGATCCAATGCTTACCCCTACCTCGTTCGCAAGTTCTCGGACTGTGATAAGACGGTCCTCCATGACCAAAGTCCGCACTTGGTCAATGACATTCTCATTTCGGCTTGTTGAGGGTCTGCCTGAACGCGGTTCGCTGTCCACTGATGTGCGGCCATCTTTGAAGCTGTTGTATCACTCCTTTATCTGTGAGTTGCTCATGGTATCATCCCCGAAAGCCTGTTGAATCTTGCGAATGGTTTCCACTTGGGTATCGCCAAGCTTTTGGCAAAATTTGATGCAATATCGCTGGTCATGTTGTTCTGTCATTTTACACCTTACTGTAATCCGACAAGCGCTCACTACACGTCCTCACTCATAGGCCGACTGCCAGCAACTGGCGCTTTCTGCGGGCAGGAAGAAATTCACAACTGAGCATGAATGTCCCCTCCACATCTCCACTGAAGGGAGCCTCCTGCACTTCATTGGTTTACGCAGGAAAAAAGAAGGTTCGATACTTTTTGAACACACCACGTATACAATGACATAATGGCAAGCAATGCAATAGATTAATGTAAATGGAGCACCTGATGATGGCACTAAGTTGCCGAAACATGTTGTGAAATAACAGGTGAAATTGAGTGCACTACAAGACGGACACTGCATACATATCATGGACGAAAATCAGTGCCACAGGACGCTAAAATACAACATTATGAATAGTATTCATACTAGATGCGTATACCAATACATGAATTGTAAACGTAAACTATTACATTGCAATGCCAACATAAATTTTAATAAGACATATTTGAGGAAGAGGTTAATACCAAAATACGCCCACATTAAAATACCAGAATATAATGAAGCAGCGAGAAAAACAAAAACACGAGCTCAAATATCGCTCATAAAAAACGAAATAAAATTCCTATACAAAAAGAAAGAAGAATTAAATACGCAACTTTACCACAAACACATACACAACGCAAACACATGGCAAAAAGTTTGGAATAGTATAGAAGACGCAATAAACCAAAAACTACAACACGAAATGAAAACAACATATCTAAAACAACAACAAAAACTAAAAAAAATGGGAAAAAACCCAAACAGCAATGAACAAGCTTAACAACACAACTTATACACGTGTACAAAATTGAACAAACACACACTTTACACAAGACGAAATCCAACTCTTAAGCAAGGGGTTAAAATACAATTTACACTATAAAAATAAAAAATGGATTGAAACATTAGCTCTCAAAGCAGAAACAGCAGTAACAAAACTAGATATAACAGAACACAACTACTATAGACACATAGTTGCGAAACAAATAAAAGGTATTAGCAGAAACAAAGAAATTCATAATAGTTATAACAGCAAGAGAGAATGGAAAGTAGCTATGAATATAAAGAGAAAAATGCTAGATAACAGATTAATAGTAACAAAAGCAGACAAAGGTAAAACATTAGTAATAATAACAGAAGAAGAATAACAAAAAATAATGAAATTTATTTTTCCTTGGCACTACAGCCCCAGTGGGCCTAGGCCTACCTCCATGAACTTCTCCGTTCACTTTGGTTTTTCTAGATCTTACACATTTGGTAGCACTCCTTGGGCGGGTGATCAGCTCGTCACAAGGCCTCTACCTGTACACAAACACAGAAAAACGCACACGCACAAACTAAACATCCATGCCCTGAGTGGGATTCGAACCCACGATCCTGGTTTCTAAGCGAGCAAAGACAGTACGTGCCTTAGACTGCTTGGGTACCGTGACCGGCAATGAAATTTATACAAGAGAATAATTTTACAATAATCAACAAAGACCCAACACAACAATACCAAAACATAATTAAACAAACAGTAAAACAATGCACAAATATAATACAAAAAGAACAAAAATGGAAATACACAAACATGAACCCTACGGCCCCAAATATGCACGCGACAATAAAACTACACAAACACAACGCACTCATTAGACCCATAATCAATTGGAGACATGCATCAGCATACCAAATAGCAATACTAATATCTAGGACACTACTAGAATATTTACAGTTACCAAACTAATATATATGATATAAACAAACAAATATCGACGACATGGTTATAGAATTTAATAAACTGCAACCAACAATAAATTTCACAATATAGAAAGAGAACCATAAATCTATATAAATTTCCTAGATATAGGAATATATAGAGAAACAAAAAATTTGCAATTTTCAGTACACCGCAAACACACAGCAACGGACATAATAATACCAAGTGACCATCCACAAGAACACAAGATATCTGGTATTAAATACCTTATAGATCGAGTAAATAATTACCCCATTACCAAAGTAGCAAAAGATACTGAGATAGCTACTATAAATAACATACTTGTAAACAATAAGTACAACACATATAATTACTAAATTAACTACAAATAAAAGAAACCAAAACATTACAAAAGAATAGAACATCACAGAGAATTCAGAAGAACAGAAAACAAAATGGGTAACATTCACATACATAGGAAAAGAAACAAGAAACATTACAAAACTATTTCGTGACACAAAATTAAAAATAGCATTTAGAACTAATAATAATTTACAACAGATTTTAAAATCAAAAACACAAATGAGTAAATATAACAAAAGTGGCATATATAGAATGAAATGCCTAGATTGCTCCATGGAATATATAGGACAAACAGGGAGGAAATTTAATACCAGATATAAAGAACACATATATGACATAAGACACAATAACAGCAATACAGGATACTCAAAACACATATTAAACACAGGGCATGCATACGGTACAATAGAAAACACTGTGGATATCATAGCAACAAATAAGAAAGGACAGTATTTAAACGCATTAGAAAACTATCATATATACAGAACAACAAAAACACGCATATGAACAATATAAATAAGGAAATATACAACCCAGTATTTCATGAACTACACACAATTTACACAGAACAACATAACACAACCCCACCACCTACCTCCAGCACATTTACCCCCACAACATCATAGCTCAATCAATACGAAGACACACACACACATCCAACATTACAACACCCGCAGCCAAAAGGGAAACACACATCACGAGACACGGTGAGTACTAAACATTATAATACAACACATAACAGATTGAAGCTGAAAGTAAAAATAATAAGCACCTTTTTCACGTTGCAGATATACACAGAGTATAAGAGGAACAACTCCCATAGTGGAGGAACCATGCGCGGGTTTGAATTGGGACATATAAGATGAATATCTTAACAAGATTTTAGTGTATAAAAATATATTATAATTTATGAATATTTTAAAATATTTTATAAATAATTTTACAATGACATAATGGCAAGCAATGCAATAGATTAACGTAAATGGAGCACCTGATGATGGCACTATGTTGCCGAAGCTGTTGTGAAATAACAGGTGAAATTGAGTGCACTACAAGACAGACATGGCATACATATCATGGACGAAAATCAGTGCAACAGGACGCTAAAATACCTCATTACTGAGGTTGAAGAGGGAGAATTCTTAATGTTTTAAATAACTATCTACAAGAGTGTTAAAATAATGATCATGAAAGGTACAAACATAAAGCAGTTGTCTACTTGACTTGTTTAGTCCTACTGAATTGTGTGTATTGGAGGAACAGAAAGCCTAATTATATCAGAGAAGAGGATTCGGAGTTTTTCAAAATTTTGCTGATATGTTATGCTCCTCATGTACTAATTGGTGCCCTATAATAAGAAAATCTTATTGTGAGAAAAACTGACCTAAAATATGAAGGCAGAGATACACTTCTGTAGAGTTTCTCTTGCGTGGATATCGAATGCTTGTCCATTCTGGATTCTGTTTATGGATACGTATAAGGAATAACGCTGTGCAGCAACATGGAAAATATTTTCCTCTTGTAAGGGAAAATCGCTGGCAACACTAAATACGGGTGTGCTGAATGTCAGCCTGAGCTTTAAAATATTGTGTCATGATTTTCAGGCTCAAAACTTGTCATGCTACAATCCATAAAGCATATAGCTGGATATGATATGGCAGTTTTTTGGCTGATCATTGCAGAACATATTAATTTCCTGAGCAGTGAGTGAATGACATTTGGTGTTGTATTAACCAACAGTTGGATGCTCGCAACTATCCAAGCCAAATATTAGTGAGATGCTACATATTTTTTTTTTAAGAAATCACAAATGTAGTTTTCCAAAGAAGATGGTGGTTTATAGAATGTTTTCCATAACATTTTCATGCACATAAGACTGCACTGAAATTACACAACTCTTCACTAAGGAGAAAATCGCGGCCTCCATAGTCTAGGGGTAACGTTCCCACCTCATGACTCAAGGGACGCGGGTTCAAACCCGGTGGAGGTCATGGAATTTTTAAGGGCGGAAAAATTCAGGGAACAAGTCCTTCAGGAGGGACTTTAAGCTGTGGGTTCCTTGTCGTAGATTTACGGCACGTAAAAGAACCTCATGTCTCTAGGAGACCTCTGAGCTAAATTAGGCAAATTTCCTGCCCAAGTAGTTTCCAGTGCCTCAGGTAGATGGGGGAGCTTAGGTACCACTGCCAGAGGAGGGATGACCTCACTGACAGAAAGGGACTATCAGATACCACTGCCAGTAGAAGGCTGAAACCTTGCTGGCAGAAGGGAACGATAGCAAGCATCAGTACCGGTAGGGTATGGAGACAGTAGAAATTCAAAGGGGAACGCACAGTAGATCAAACTGGTCGCGGTGCATGGGGTAACCTACCCCCTCAATACTCAAGGAGAAAATCAGTGTTGTATGGTGTAATCAGAGATTGCAGGAAGATGACATCTTGAAGAGCAATTGTGTTTCACTGGCTAATATTTTTCGCTCTTTCAGTGACTTATCGCTTAATTTATGAGTTTTGTCTTGTGTCTGGCCTCTTTAGTTTTACTTTCTACATTTTATCCTGTTCTTATGTTATTGATAGCTCTTTTTGTGTTTTACTGCATTGTTTATGTTTTTATATCTTCCATTTTTCAGTGCTTGCCTGCAGTGGGCTATCTTGCTGTTGTCAAGCACTTACAGAAATTAATATGATTGAATTATCTTCATTATTGTCATAATTAAAACAAAATTTAAAAGTTACATTGAACAAGTAAGTTATTAATTTCTTTCACTACTGTGTTATAAAAGAAATTTAACTCTGTCATACTCCATTGTTACAAACAATTTGTCTTCATATGGATGATGAAGTTGGAAGGGAACTCCCCCACTAAATCACTCACTCACTCACTCATGGAGCTGAGCCCTTGTTGAGAAGCCACTAATTGTGCAGCTACTCAAGAACTTCCCAGCATTTTATGGAGCCCGAAGGTTCATTACTGTGTTCACAAGAGCCCTCCACTGGTCCCTATCCTGAGCCAGATCAATCCAATCCATACCATTTCATCCTATCTCAGGTCCATTTTAATATTGTCAACCCACCTACGCCTTGGTCTTCACAGTGGTCTCTTTCATTCTGGCTTTCCCACCAATATCCTATATGCATATATGCATTCCTCTTCTCATTCGTGCTGCATGCCCTGTCCACCTCATCTTCCTCCACTTGATCATTCTAATTATACTTGGAGAAGAGTACAAGTTACGAAGCTTCTCAGTATGCAGTTTTCTCCAACCTCATACCACTTCATCTCGCTTTCGTCCAAATATTCCCCTCAACACCCTGTTCTCAAACACCCTCACTCTATGTTCCCCCCTTAAAGTCGGAGACAAAGTTTCACACCCATACCGAACAACAAGGAAAATTAGAGTTTTGTATATTCTGATTTTTATGTTTCTGGACAGCAGACGAGAAGACAAAAGGTTCTGGACTGAATGGTACCAAGTATTATCCGAGTTCAGTCTCCTCTGAATTTCCTCTTGAATCAGGTTTTGATTTGTTATTGTTGTTCCCAAATATCTGAACTGTGCCACATTTTCAAAACATCTGTTACCTGTCTTTATGTCATGACTTTGCCCTGTATTTTGGTTACAAGACAGCAGCATATACTTAGTTTTCTCTGTGTTTACTTCTAGACAAACCTCCTTACTTGGGTCAATTAAAGTCTCCTTGTTTCTGTTTATGGTATCTATATTATCACCCAGTAGATTAACATCATCAACGTAGAACAACAGCTGATGTGTCCCATTTAATTTTAGTCCCACCTGGCTTCCCTGGATCTTCCTAATGGCATATTCTAAAGCAAAGTTGAAAAGCAGTGGCACTAAAGCATCTCCTTGTTTTGGACCATTTTTAATAGAAAAATTATCAGACAGAAGTTTACATGTACGGACTTTATCATATGTTTCGTTTAAACACATTTTAAGCAGCCTAACTGGTTTGATGGGTACCCCAAACTCTATCAGAATATTGTACAACACTTCCCTCCTAACTGAAACATAGGCTTTCTTGAAGTCTATGAATAGCTGATGTACTGTCTCATTCTACTCCCTTTTTTTTCCCCCCCAGTATCTGACAAATGCAAAAGATCTGATCTCCCATGACTCTTAATATTGTGCAGTTGAACAGCAATTGAGACAGTGAATTGTATAAGATTAAGATTGTATAACTGTGAATTGTATAAGTGTGGAGAGTGAATGTGCAATAAATTCGCTATATCCTATACAGCGTGAAGTTATTTGTCACGTTATACACCCAACACGTGACGATATGTATATTCTCTTATGAACATCAGATAAGTCTTAATTTTACATAATTTTGTAAATGCTATCTGTAGTTATAGTGGTAAATTAGGATATAACCCAGTATGCTGAGTAATTGTACTTGCCACTTATAGCAACACTTCATTTGTCCACTTGTATTATTATAATAGCCTGTTCATTTTTGTATTTGTAATGTACTTACGCTTTGAAACATAACATAGTGTGTGATGTACATTGCCTTTCATTTTTACAGACTACAGTGAAGCAACTGAAAGAAAAAATTGCTGAATCAATCAATATTCCTGCAGATTCTCAGCGGTTGATTTATTGTGGAAGGGTGTTGGTTGATGAAAAGAATTTGAGTGAATATGGTAAGTATCCTGTTGTTTACTATTATGAAAATTGAGGCACATACTGTTATTATCAAAGCATGCCAGTAAATACCTTGTTCATCTTTTTACTCATACCTACATTCTTAGGTACTACATATTTTTGCTGTAGAATTAGTACCACGCTGAATAAAACAATTCAGCAGAAGGGTATTGCTCATTCTATGTTACACATTATAGGGTTGGAATGTTCTTATTCTCTGAAAGTGACAGTGATGGTTTTCATATTATAACAAACTTGTGAAACAGATATTTGCTCACAGATGTATAAAATTGGAAGCTTGTGCTGCCCTGAGCCAACTTCACAGTCACTTCTCTTTCTGATTTCAACTTCATTTTGAAATGTTTGGATTGCAGTATTTCTTTCAACTTTCAGATGGGACCTTCATACACCATTTTGATATATGTGATGACTCAAAGATGTAGTAGGTACTTTACAAAGTGTGTGGAGAGATACAGCCAAGAGTTACAGCATTTAGTTTGAACAATCGTTTAGCTAATCAGCAGTTGTTGTGCATTGCTGATTCATGCTTTGAAGTAAACAGTGTGACACTACACAGTCACGTTGATAAGAAGTGTGCAGTTCATTTCCATCAGTTGCAAGTTTGTGTGATCAGTCATCTGTGAGCATGTGTTTATGTTGAACTATGGTCAAGTATGGTGTTGAACATTGCATATTTCTGGTTGAGAATTACAGTAGATGGAAGAATTGTTAAGACATGTATAATTTTTTCCAGCAGTATTTGTTTCAAACTTTACCTAGCATACTTTTGTGTTAATGCTGTATAAGAAGTGGCAGAAAACTTAGTCAGTTACCAGTTGAAGATACATCAGCCAAAGAGTGTGCAGACACCAGAACTTCTCCAGTTGTAGGAAATTAAATAAAATGAGGCTACAGTACTTGTGATGGCAGAATATCCATACCAGATTTCATGAAAATTGTTGAGCTGGCTCAAAAGTTGGAATGTGGGGCGACATAGCATGAACACATAACCTTTCTTACTTACTTAACAGACGGAAATTGGTAGAAAGTATATATGTTATTCAGTGAAGTCTGAAGTGAAGTAAGTATTAAGATCAGTAATGAATGTTTCTCATGAGTAATGATAGCTCAATAAATGAAGATGTTTGCTCTGGACTTGGCAGTTGGGATTCATTTCCTCTGGCAGAACCTTTCTGGATTTTCTCTTGACTAGTTACTCTAAAATCGATTAAGCCTCCTCCCTGGAAGGAAAGGTAGTTGAAGAATTGAGCCACCATTTGATTATGATATTTTGGCTGTTTGGGCACAGTTTTGAGTATAAGCATAGCTTTACCTGGACATTTATGAAGGCGTGCTAATTTGCAGATGTCAACGGTAAGGTCATTCATCTTGTTCATCGACCTCCACCACAAACCACTCGACCCAATGGAAATAATTCAGGGGTCAGGCAACCAAATCAGCAACAGCGCCGTACAAACCAGCATCACAGACAGCCTCGCATGGATGGAAATGCTATGTATCTTGGGGCTATGGCCTTTCCTGCAGATCTTATGGATGCACAAGGTATGCTCATCTCCTACTTCTTAGTAAGAGAATCTTACTGACTCGAGATGTTTACTCATATGTAAGCTTAAGTGTCATATGTTGAATGTTTATTGTGTGTATCACAAAATATAAAAAATTACCTGCACACTAACTTCTCTGTTGTTTTTTCTCTAAAATTGGTAGGCGGGTTTTAGTTAATGCTTTTTTCGGCTTAGTAAAGAGAAACTATCAGTTATATTGAGTTCTTTTATTGGAACTGACCTCATGCAGTGTAGGTTTACATTTTACAAGATTTACCCATCATATTATGACATAATGGTTGATAAAGTCAGAATAGTGGGCACAGAAAAGTCATCCATTGCTATAGCAACCAAAACACACTCCCACATCAGCAGTACCTGGGTCATCACTAGGCAACATCCTGCTTAACACATCACTCAACAGTGGAGGAGTTATTTGAAGCAGTGTTCTCTTTTAGGTCCACACTGAGGCTATGTAACGGAAACCAGTGGGATGAGTTAGTCAGTCTTTGAGTCAGAGGTCAGAGTCAGCAGTTAGTAGTGTGGTTCGTGGTTGTCTGGTGCCCACTATCTCCCCTTTCTGCCAGTGAGGTCGGCCCTCTACTGGCAGTGGTACCCGATAATTCTCCCCTTTCTGCCAGTGAGGTCGGCCCTCTACTGGCATTGGTACCCGATAAACTCCCCATCTACCAGAGGCATTGGAAACTACTTGGACAGGAAACATTTTGCATAATTTTGCTCAGAGGTCTCCTAGAGACATGAGGATCTCTTACGTGCCGTAAATCTACGACACGGGACCCACAGCTTAAAGTCCATCCTGGAGGACTTGTTCCCTGAATTTTTCCACCCTTAAAAATTCCATGACCTCTGCCGGGTTTGAACCTGCGTATCTTGAGTCATGAGGTGGGAACGTTACCCCTAGACTATGAAGGCCACTTATTTGTAATAGTTAATGCCTGTGAATATTTTTAAGGTATTCAGCCACCTCAGCCATCTCATAATCTCTCACAGAGTCGCTTAATAGTGGCTCGTCGAATGGTTCGCCGTGCATCTGCTGTTCTGCAGCGGTTGGAATGGCCCGGCATTCAGGAGTCACCAGACCCAGAATCACCCCCAGAAGATGTAGAGAATGGGAGGTAAGAAAAGTTTTGTTTAATGTTCAGTACTGATCAGTCCTATTATTCTTTTTGTGTTGTAATATGTACTCGATAACTGGAGCAGATGCATTCAGATTCTTTTCCTTATCAGTCAGCATATGCTAGCAATAACTTTGGGTGCACCCAGCCTCCTTCCCTGTTTGTATTATAATGTAATATAATTGTTTATGAAACCATTCATGTACAGTCTTGGGTCCAGCATTGTGTGTACAAATTGCTGTTAAGAATATAGAAGTCCCCAAGTTACAGACATCCATTTATACAAATGAAGGTTTTTTTTTTATTACTTGGTAAGGTGGGACTGAGTCCACTTGGTACTGTGGCCACTTCTGGCCTGTTGTACCAGTCCCAGATCATAGGTGAGGGTGATTATGGAGCTATTGGTTGAATGAAGATTGGCAAGGGAAACCGAAGTACTCTGAGAAAACCTGCCCCAGCACCACTTTGTCCACCACAAATCCCACTTGACCAGACCAGGGATTGAACCCGGCACGCCACAGTGGGAAGCCAGTGACTAACTGCTTGAGCTGTGGCGCGAGATGAAGGTGTTACCTTCCTGAATGATTCAATAATTCAGTCATATGTGTGCTAGCTGTCACCCTTGGAACCTACAAAGTCCCGTTCTCCATCTCCAGAAATGTCTGCTAACTCCCCCTTACCTTTCCTCAAGAGACATACTTCCAACACAGAAGATAGTGTCAGCATTTAAATAAAAATGAAAAGAACTCTTTTTGCTTTTCATTTTGAATGCTTTTTTGCTTTCTTTCATTACTCTTGTTATAACAGTATCTTGATTCAACTATTTTTTCAGGTCAGCTTAATTGTGTTAAGTAGGCTATTATCAAGTAACCAAGTCTGACCACCACTTTAAGACAGTGTCACTGGGGTCGCTAGATGCAGCCATCACACCAAAAGCCGAAGAAAACTTCTTTCTTTTGGCTGCCATGTTGTTATTTTGCTTCTAGAAAAGAGGACCCTAAATAAAGTGGTAGTTACTGTGCTCGCTTTGTTGTTGTTACAGAATGTAGGAAGTTAAAAGATATGCTGTATCAGCAGCCACCAGTTTGCACAGCATTCATACAAAGTTCTGCGGAAATCAGTCTCCTGGTTCAAAAGTTGAAACGGATGACATCCATACACAGACCAGCATGGTCTTATTATAAACCTGCATTCTTCCTTAAGGACTTTTTATTATTAATAAATATTAAGAGAAGATGGAATAAGGATTTTCATTTTACTTCTGTGGCATTAGAATAGTTTTTTTTAGTTTGTTGACAGTTGATCAATTTTTGTGAAGTGTGGCATGATAAGAAATCTTTTTGTTAAGTTCTGCACTTGACGACTTCCTGTTGTTTGTCACAGCATGCAGGATTTTTATTTCATGTTCTGTTATATAATGTTATGTGTTAGGTTCTGATGGTCATGAGGGTGGAAGGTTACCAGTATTACTACAGGTTCTGCATATTTATAAAGGATAGAGTGCTGTATTTCTTTGTACTTAATTTGATCATGATTGGGTTCTCATTGCCACGGCCTGCCAAGAGATAGAGGCACGTCTGGAAGAAAAAGAGCCAACCTCAGCAGACAGGAAACCTGAGGTGGCCCAACAACGAGAAGTCCCCAACGAAGATGCCGTAGTGAAACCGGTCAAAGGACGGAAGAAGTGGTATAGGGGCAAGAAGCAAGCTGCAGGACGACGTGGAGAGCAACCTGAGGAATTTCTGGATCACGGATGAAGTTGGCCACCGGCTGCAGGAAGGTGTCCCGCCGTGCAACAGTGGCATGGCGTTGGAGGAATATCTTCAGGAAATCTTGGACCCAAAGAAATTGTGGACCGCTGAAGAGAAGCGACACAAAGATGTCCTGCCATGCGACGGTGGCATGGCGCAAGAGTGATATCTTCAAGAAATCTTCGACCAACGTAAAGTGTGGACCGCAGCACGAATTGGCTGCTGACAAGAAGATGACTAGCTGTGCAAATGTGACACAGCGCAAGATACTCAGACTTCAGGGAGATCAGTTGGAGTCACGCACAAGCCCGCATAAAGATTTGTCAAAGAAAGCACGAGAAGGACTTCAACGTGAGAGGAGGACACAAGGACTCATCCTGAAAAGGAAATTTGAGGCATGTGCAAGTGCACAAGTGGAAGTGCTGCACAGAATCCCAGCTGATGTGAACATTGAAAAATGGACACTATGGAGGGGTCGACCCCCTTCAAAACGAAAAAAGAAGCAGGGCACAGAAGAGGAGCCAGTAAAATAGAAGAACCAGCCTCCCCAGAGAGAGTGAATGTGCCATGGGAGAAAGCGATGGATGAATGTGATCTTCTGGCAAGTTAGCAGGAAACCGCTCGAGACTAGCTGGTCTTAAGAGGAAAGCAGTTGTAACGGCCAGAGAACAGATGCTGCAGGAACAGCCTCCAAAGACAAAAGAACGGGGGTGCACCGTTAGGCTATTCGGGACAAAAAGCCTTAAGGAGGGAGCAGTGTGACGTGCCGTGCTATGCAGGACACCCCTCCCCCCCCCCCACGGCGGTGACGTGCCGAGCGGACCCGATGCGAGCCAAGTCCCGGCACACTGGTCGCTATGCAACATGGGTAAACAATGGTTGCGAGAGACAACTCCCGACAGCATGACAGTGTTACCAGTAACACCGGTAACCATGGCGCCAGACAACAGTGGTGCCTGTTACGTGGCTGTTTTCTGCATTGTCCAGAACGAGGCTAGATACGGAGCAGCGAAGACTATTCATAGTCAGTTCTGAGTTTTCAAGTTCTCGAGTTACGAGTCAGCCAGGCAGTCAACCAGCATTTGCAGTGTAGTATTTGTGATACTGCAGATAGCAGTAATTGTGAATCTGTAAATTGTGTGATTGTAAGAGCGAAAGTGAAATACAATTCGCTATATCCACTAAGGCGTGAAGTTATTTGTTGCGTTATACACCCAACATGCGACAATATGTGTATTTTTTTATAGTCTTGTTTTCTTTTATTCGTGTCCAGTGGTTCCAATGGAGAAAACGGTGGAAGTGGCAGCAACAGTGTTCTTACACAAGCTCAGCCCTTTGCTGGCAGCATTGCTCAGGCAGCGCAAGCTGCGACAGCTGCTGCAATAGCTGCTGCAGTCTCTGCTGCCCATGCTGCTGGTGTCCCCAACATCACCATTGTCCGAGGAGGGCAGGCACAAGGTTCACAGGAGACTGTTAATATTCGGATAGAAGGTAACATCTGACTGAGGAACATTTCTGAACAGTACAACCAGATATAAATGTTTGATAGGCACTTTTGTAACTGAATCACAGTTCACAAGTATGTCTCATGTTGTTCAATTCTGATTTTGGGGCGGGGGACCAGTGGTCTTGCATAAGCATAATTTGTATTTAATTGGCATCTATTGGTGGGGGGGGGGTTCCATTCTTGACATATATTTAGTAGCAAAATCTGCTTGGTGTGTAGAAAATGAACAAAAGGAACATAGAAATGAAACTGTGTGCATGATACTAAAGGACAAATTGAAGACAGAGCAATGCATGAAAGAGTAGTAACACTGATGAGTGCTGCTATGTACTGAACCTATAAAGGGTAAAGGTGAAATTGTAGTTGCACAAGGGAGTGGAGGTATAGCTTCACAATTCTTGACCTTGGCACTAGATGAAGGTGAGTGGTCAGCTACACACCCTGACTTCTTTACTCCCTTGGGTAAAGCCCCATGTATCCATTGGATAGGAGGCTTGGTGGATCCCAGAGCCAGTCTGGATGCTTTGGAGAAGAGAAATATCTCCTGCCCCTGCTAGGAATTGATCCCCAGCCATCTAGCCTGTAGCCCATTGCTATTCTGACTGAAACATATAATTACCAGTCATAACAGTGATCAAAGGTTAGGTTTTATTGCATCACGAAACTTGATGTTAGAGGCTAGAATTGATTATATAAGGCATCAGTTATGTAGAAATTTTCTTTTTCCATAATAACTGATACAATAAATGTGACTTTGATTTTGATTGTAATATATCCTGGACCCTATCCCTATTGATATTTTTCTTGTATGTATTGACAGTTTGAAAAGTCATAACTGAATAGCGTACCATATCAAATGAACATACTCTTTAAACTTGAGCTGAATAAAAGATAAGTAGCAGTCTGTGAAGGGCACAGAGTATGTTAGGAATCATGCATGTGGCAGTGGTTAGGAAGTACAAAGTGACACTGATAGTGGGTGGCAAAATGAAATGCATATATTAGTGAATTTAAAAGAGTTTGTTGTGATATGGGTAGATCGTTATTTACAAGAAGTAACCTCTATAAAGATGACTATTATGCTGGACAGTTGGACTTAGCTTAAGGTTACACAGATGTCACCAGTTTTAGTTTCAGTAAATTCCTCATTGAATCCTCACCTACCTTGTCAGGCAGTGTCTTCCCACATCTTATATTTCTCCTCTTCATATGTTAAATATAAGTGCAGTATGTTAAAGGTTATAGAATACATCTTTGAGATCCAGAGTGAAGATTTTTATGTTGTCTTTGCTGTTCAGAAATTTTCAACAGGAATATCACTCAGAATTACTTGGGTTTTGGACTTTTTCCATCGTCTGGAATTTTAGGTAATAGAGGACACAACATTTCAGAAACTGGATCTGTTTCCATCTTCAGGTTAGAAAGGACCACTGGATCAGTGATTGAGATTAGCTCTTTCTAACGGGTCCAACTGAGTAGGTGTCTTCCTTTCTCACCTGAAGACAGAAACAGATCCAGTTTCCAAAATGTCGTGTCCTTTATTACCTGAAATTCCAGAAGATGGAAAAAGTCCAAAACCCCAGTAATTCTGTGTGTCATCCACCATTGTCAGAACCAATTAGAATCTGCAGTTATATCACTGTGTCATTTTTGGCATACTTTCCTTTCTTAAGGAAAAAGTGTGGGCTCATTAAGTCTCCATGCCAATCAAGAAGCCAGTATGAATGCAGATGGCAAGTAGGGCTCACACTGGTTTCTTGCTCGGCTTATTCTTCGACCCTAAAGATGGAGGTGATATGTTCCTCCAAAACATCGGTTGACTCTCGGCATACTAAGTACATGACAATATATCCCAGAAGATAGTACTCTTTCATAACCACTGCTGTGAGAACCACAAATTCCACAATCTTCAATAGGCTTGTTATGGGCCTTGTTATCATTAGAGGTCTTCCAAATTTCTTACTTTTAATTTCCTGTAATCAGAAATAAAGTCATGCCAATGCAAATTTTGAGGTTATATCATTGTATCAGTAGAGGTCATCCCAATTTCCTAGTGCAAATTTTGAGGTTATATATGACAAATTTAATGTGGACAAAAATCAGTATATAAGTAATGTGTTGTAACAGACGCTAAAATAATAACATTCACAGTGATGATGATGATGACAATGACAGTGACAGCAGCAACAACCTGTAACATGCTGGATTTGACAGTTTCTTAATTTTGACTAAGACAAACATTCTTTTGATTGGTTATGCCATGTAGTTCAGGAAACGTCCACTGTTTCACAGAAACATGGTACCACCATCTTCATGGTTGAAGAGCAAGCCACGAAAGAAACCAGCAAGAAGCAGGTAGCAGGCAGAGGTCTACTTGTGTGAATGTACTCTTCTACATTGTTGAAGCAGAAATAGAAATTGTACTCAGCTAGGATTTCATACTATTACCATCTGTACATGAATGAGCATATAGGCCCTTGAACCAAATTGAATTTTATTATAGGATTATATATTTGTGTTACCTAAATAAGACATTGACAACACCAGGTTTGTATAATTGGAAGTTGGCTGTATGAGTTCTGCCTGGAACTTCATTTTTTTATATATATATACAGGGTGTCCCAGGAGGAAGGAACCAAACTTTGGGAGGGTGTTCCTTATGTTAAAGTATGCCGATATAACCCAAAACACCTATGTCCAAAGTTGAACGGTTACGGAGATAATGGCCCGAGAAAAGTGTGGTCTTCTTGCAGGTCCACGCACTATAGCTGTCAGCTGAGACCCTTATCTGTTTGTCCTTGAGTGCTGTGAGTCACTAGCCGTAAGCTCATGCGCTACCTACCAGAGCCTACAGATTACGTTGCGGCGGGGTCGTGAATGGGTGGTAAATTAGTTTGTGTGATGAGTTGCTGAAATGCCTCTTGTGTTGTTGTGTTGTCTTGTGGAATATTGTGATATGCATTTTGTGTGTGGATTTTGCGGTCACAATGCACGTGCTGCTGTTGAAGAATACCAAAGGCGTTTTCCTGATCGAAGGATTCCATCTCGAAGTGTATTTACGCGAATTCACCAGACATTGCGTGATACTGGTTCTCTTCCAAGTGTTTCTGTGCAGTCGGAAAGGGAGGATGTACAAATGAGAAACACACGAGAGAACATTCTTCGCATGATTGATAGAAGTCCGCGTCTCTCCACTCGTAGAATGGCCTCTCGCATCGGCGTATCACGTATGCAGGTGTGGCG